TGGATAAAGTGGACGTGGTGAAGATGTTCCCACTAGTAGGAGAGACTAGGGTCCAAGGTCACAGCCTCAGAGTGAAGGGACAACCCTTTAGGACTGAGATGAGGAGGTAATTTCTTCAGCCAGAGGGTGGTGAATCTATAGAACTTTTTGCAACAGAAGGCCTAGTCATTCAGAGTCTTTAAGACAGAGATAGATAGGTTCTTGATAAGTAAATATGTCAAGAGTTATGGGGAGAAGGCAGGAGAATGGGGTTAAGAAACATCAGCCAAGATCAAATGGTGGATCAGATTTGATGGGCTGAATGGTCTAATCCTCCCAGGATACTGAAAGAGACAACGGAGGAGGTTGCTGGGACCTTGACAGAGATCTTTGTTTCATTTTCAGCCACAGGTGAGGTCCCAGAAGTCTGGAGAATGGCCAATGTTGTTCCTTTGTTTAAGGTGAGCAACAGGGATAATCCAGGAAATTATAGGCCAGTGAGCCTTAAATTAGTGATAGGGAAATTATCGGAGAAGATTCCTAGGACGTCTGTGACCAGTGGTGTTCTGTAAGGATCATTGCCGGGATCTCCATTGTTTGTAATTCCTATAAATGATTTGGATGAAAAAGTAGATAGTCTGATTAGTAAGTTTGCAGACAACATGAAAATTGGCAGAGTTACAGATAGTGAGAAAGGTTGTCAAAGGATACAGCAGGATATAGAACAGTTAGAAGGTTGGACAGAGAAATGGCAGATGGTGTTTAATCCAGACAAGTCGGAGGTGATACATTTTGGGAGGTCAAATGCAAGAGGAAAGTGTGCAGTAATGGAAAGACCTTTAAGAGCATTGATACAGAGGGATCTTGGGGTCGAAGTCCATAGCTCCCTGAAAGTGGCAACACGAGTGGATAAGGTGGTAAAGAAGACATACGGCATGCTTGCCTTCATTGGTCAGGGCAGTGAGTATAAAAATTGGTGAGTCATGTTGCGGCTGTATAAGACTTCAGTTAGGCCACATTTGGAGTAGGCCACATGTGCAGTTCAGGTTGCCACACTATAGGAAGTATGTGGCTGCTTTGGAGACATTGCAAAAGAGGTTTCCCAGGATATTGCCAGGATATTGGATTGGAATGTATTAGCTGTAAGCAGAAGTTGGACAAACTTGGATTGTTTTTACTGGAGCACCAGAGGTTGAGGGCCACCTGATAGAAATATATAAAATTATGGGAGGCACGGATAGGGTGGATCGTCGGAGTCTTTTTCCCAGTCAAGGCAATGTCAAACACTAGGGGGCGTAGGTTTAATGTGAGAAGGGAAATGTTTATAGGAGATGAGCAAGGACAGTTCTTTTATAGAGTAGTAGATGCCCAGAATGCGCTTCCAGGGGAGGTGCTAGAAGTAGAGACGGTAGCAACGTTTAAGAGGCATTTGAACAGGCCGGTAATAGAGGGATACGGACCACGTGCACGAGATGGGATTAGTTTAGAATAGCATCGTGGTCAGCTCAGATAAGGTGGGCTGAAGGGCCTGTTCCTGTACTGTTCTATGATCTTCTATATCTTATGCTGTTATGGCCTGTGTTCCTTCTGTGAGTGCACCCATGTTTCACCCTTTTTAAAACATATCCCTCTTTTCAATTCTTACAACCAAATTAAATAACCCCACACTTGCCCACTTCTAGATATGTTTCTATCTCTATTCAGAGATATTGCTATACACTCCTGAAGAAGGTAGGACCTGACCCTGGGTCTTCTGATTCAGAGGCAGGGACACTATCACTGTACTGTATGAGCTCTTAAAATTAGAGTCCATTCCTGTATGACTCTTAAATTATACTCTACCCCTACCTTATTGCCCACTTTTATATACCTTTGCAGCCTTTATGTGTAATTATCAGAGCTGGCATTCCCACCTATCATTGGCAAACATACATATATTACCCTCTGTCTCTTTGTCTAAGTCATGAATACAGTTTGAAAATTGCTGAGATCCCAGTGCCAATCCTTGCAGCACTCTACCAGCTACAAGCTGCCAATTTGGAAATGGTTATCCCATTCATTACTTCCTGTTTAACCAATTCTTTATCTCTGCTAATTCTTTTTTTCTGAGGGATCAGTTTGAGATTTTCTTGCAAAGGGGAGATGCTATTTTTGATTTCCAAAGGCTACATTTTAGTTTTCTGGGAACTCCTTGAAGTTTGAGAAGATCTAAGGATTTAAGTCAGAAACCAAACTGTGCACAAAACAGGAATTTGTAAACTTGCTCTATTCCGTTGAAGAGTATTAGAAGTATGACAGCCTGTATGCTGGGACCAGAGGCCAAGAATCCCACAACCAATTAAACAGTTCTCCCTCATTAGCACACCCTATCATCCCCTTGTGACTGATGTTAAAGCAGAGCTGAGGCTTGATAAATCAGGATTGACTGGGTTCTCAACATTTTACACACATTAAAAGTATTTCAAAAAACACACAACAGCCACCAATATAAAAGCTGGTACATAAACAGTTCTATAGCAGAAACATTTAAAGAAAAATGTAAGGGTGAAAAAAAAATCCCCCACAACATTTTCTGCCCCACGCAAGATCTCCCGACTTTTAATTTGACATCTTTCCACATGACTCTGTCTAGCGCCCCAGTTATTCTGATTGTTCACAATGAATGGAAGGAAATTTGGTCACTTCCTCATTGATCATAGAATCATAGAATCTCTACAGTGTGGAAGCAGGCCATTTGGCCCATCGGTGGACACTGACCCTCTGAAGATTATCCCAAACACACCCACACACCCTATCCCTGTGACCCTTCATTTCCCCTGGCTAACCCACCTAGCCTGCACATCCCTGGACACTATGGGGCAATTTCCTATGGCCAATCGACCCTGACCTGCACATCTTTGGACGGTGGGAGGAAACCAGAGCACCCAGAGAAAACCCACGATAGCTGTGACCCTTAGGATATGTCACTTTTGCTTTGATCCTTTTGTGTTCATGAACTAGCTCATTCTACACACGTTAAGCGGAGCATGAATGCTTCCCACATGCAATCGATACAAAATAGCTGTCAGTCAGTTTCCAGCTCCTCAACCAAATTAAATTCAGGAGTAGTGGCCTTAAAATTGCATTTGTTCATTTCAGGGAGATGATGTAATGTCACTGAACTAATGATCCTGCAGTCCAGTGATTAAGTTCAAGGGTAATTAGAAATGGGTGACAAACACTGGAATTGCCGGTGGTGCCCATAACCCATGAGAGATTAACAATAACCTACAGACGCTGCAGCACGTTGGTCAGGTTCCTGTACAACAGATTACACCTCCTATGTCCAAAAGAAAGGCTACAAACTGCTGGCCTGCCTGAAACAGCTGTCCACTCCCCATAACCCTGATATCTTCATTCTTCCAACCTCCAGAGACATGCTCCCAGAAAAGTTGAGTGGCAGCATGGCACCTATTCGGAAGGTGGAGGGCATCAAGTTAAATAAGCTTCATACTGGCAACTGTATACAACTTCAGTTAGACCACAGCTGGAGTAGGGTGGCATGGTGGCTCAGTGGTTAGCACTGCTGCCTCACAGCACCAGAGACCCGGGTTCGATTCCATCCTTGGGTGGGACATTTACAGTTTGCACATTCCCCCCAGTGTCTGCATGGGTTTCCTCCCACAGTCCAAAGATGTGCAGGTTAGGGTGGATTGACCGTGCTAAATTGCCTGTAGTGTTCAGGGATGTGTAGATTAGGTGGGTTATAGGGGGATGGGTCTGGGCAGGATGCTCAGAGGGTCGGTGTGGACTTACTGGGCCGAAGGGCCTGTTTTGGGGATTTGATGATGATTGATGATGATGAGTTCTGGCCACCACACTATAGGAAGGATGTGATTGCACTGGAGAGGGAGCAGAGGAGACTTACCAGGGTGGCGCCTGGAGTGGAGGGACCAAGCTTTGGGGAAAGATTGGTAAGGGTGGCATTATTTCCCTTACAGCAGCGAAGGCTGAGAGGAGAACTTGATAGGAGTTTATAAGATGAGGAGGGGCATAGTTAGGGGGAATTGGAAAGCCTTTGTTTCCATTTGTAATGGTTTCAATAACCAGGGGCCATATCTTTCAGGTAATGAGAATTTCTTTCCCCCAGAGGGTGGTGGGAGACTGGAACTCCCCACCAAGAAAGGGTGGCTGTGTCAGAAACTCCTGCAGCAGTATATAAAGCATTACTGTAGCCTCCAGGGCACGGGCCAGGAGCTAGAAAATAGTGACTGCTGTCACCAAAAGTGTAGTCAGCTCCTCTGTGCTGTAATATCTGAGTTGAGAATAGGTACGGTGATGGAACCACTCTCCCCCTACCTGTCCTTTCTTTCCCAGCAGTTAAGATCAGCCCTGAGCAAGTCTTGTAGCATTGACTCTTTCGTGCTGTTTCCTTCACTGCCTTACTTCAACACTCCCCTGGCTGTGTCCACTCTCTGTAGACCTAAGCTCATCCAAACACTCTGATGCCTGCAGCTTAACTCACACCAAATCCGGGTCAGCTACCTCCCTTGTACACATTGACCTGTATTAGTTCCACCTCTAATTAAAATTCACGAGTTCAAATCCCTCCGTGTTCTTGACAGTCTCCATGTTTGTCGTTTCTGCCAATAATACAACCCTTTGTGATCTCTACAGTCCTCCAGTTCTGTCCTCTTGGATATCCCTGATTTGAATCACTTTGCCATTGAACGCTGAGGTCCTTAGAGTTTTGCATTTTCTCTATAACCGATCCCCTTGGCACTCATTCTATAAGACATTCCTCAAAACCCATCTCTTGGCTGGAATTTTCGTCACCTGTCTTAGGATATCCTTCTGGGGCTCATACCACGCCTGTGAAGTGGACTAGGAGGGATGTAATACCATGTCAAAGGCACTATATGAATGCATGAAGCTTATTGTTGTCCATGCTACTTGTCAGTCCTGAAGGAGCATTGCAACTCCTGTGTCCTTAGGCAATTGTGCCATGCGTTACCTAACTGGTGTGTTTGTTTCCCCCTCAGGAGTGTTCCCATTCCTCTCCAGCACCATGGAAGCCCTGAACGACAGTGAGCAGATTCAGATCATCTTGGACAAAATCACTGATGCCTTGGTTCACTTTATCACCAGGGCTGGCCTCTCACTGCAGCAGCAGTCCCGGAGACTAGCTCAGCTTCTGCTACTGCTCTCCCACATCCGACACATGAGGTGAGCACAGCCCCTTCTCCATTCCCACAACTGTAATTATGAAGGAACTAGGTCAATCAGCCAGTTGGAGTGCCGTCAGCGCTTTTGGAGCTCAGCCAAGCATTCACAATGAGCCCAATTGGGAACGAGATCTAGCTATCTGCTCAGCCTACTCCTGACCCCTGTTAATATAGCTACATTCCCCTTTTTAAACATGTGGAATATTCAGAACTTTAAAAATGAATGAACTACCAGATATTGGATCAAGATCATTCCAGAGTTGGCCATGTTTTAAAACCGCAATATTGTTGACATTCAAGCCAAGAACATAGGAACAGGCATAGTCTATTCATCATATCATAGCTTATTCTTATATCCAGAAATGTTCTTACACACAACCAAACATTTTTATTTCCATCACAAAATTATCCCAGTATCTTAATTCATCTACTAACCACCACCAATAAATCATCCATGTTTCCAACTGAACAATGTACAAGCAAAGCCTATTAAGGGCAATGTAAAGGTGAGGGAGAGGTAGGGAGAGGAGGCTAAATCAAAAAGGAGTTTGAAGAGAAGATCAAGGCATCGAGAGTATTGGTGGACACTCTCCCTCTCCAAGGACACCCGGGCACAAATATGGCCATGAAAGAGGGACAGATGGTCAGCATCTAAGACCCCCAAAGCCCCCTGCAGCCCATTGCCTGAATATGGTAATAGCCAACCTGGCCAGGCCCAGGAGCAGACCCATGAGGAGGTCCTCCAATCTGCCCACAGCTCTCCGCACTGGATGCCCAAAGATCAGGAGCATGGGACTTAGGTGCAACCCAACGCACAACAGATATTTCAAATAACGAAAAAGACGGAAGCAAAGAGATATTAGTGAACCAGATGGGTTTTTACAATGATTGTGAGTGTTTATATGGCCATCATTAGACACTTAAATCTAGATTGTTTTGTTTATGAATTCCAATTCCACCATCTACTGCGGTGGGGCTTGAACTCAGGCCCCTGGGAAAATACCTGCTATTTCCTGGCTTATTAATTAAGTGATAATACCACTAGGGCCATCACTTTCCCCCAGATCCTAGCTGTTGTGCATCTTAGCTAATAACCTACAATCTATCATTGTAACAGCTTTGCCTAATTAGACGAGAATTGATAGAATTTTTTTTATTTGACGTATTTTTCTAACCAATCCATTCAGAGATGTTATTGCATGCCTTTGAAACAGGTAGGATTTGAATCTGGGCCTCCTGGTCTGGGGTAGGGACACTACCACTATACCACAAGAGGATTCCACTGGAGTTGACAGATTGTTAAATTTGCAGTTGAGCTCACTTAAGCATGTTTTTGGAGGAGAGACTTCCTGATTCTCACTATCTCACTACTCCCGAAAAGCCTAGCTATAATTTTGAGGTTATGTCCCATTGTTCTACACAATCAATATCTTTGATCATCTGAAACACCTCAAGGAGATCAACCACTGATCTTTTATACTCACAACAAGTTTTGACCATTGAGGACTTCATTCGACCTATGAATGATTATTGAATGCAAAACAAAAACCAAATTAAACAGAAAAAGTTGGAAACATTCATCAGGAACAGTAACAGAGTTAGCATTTTAGATCGCTGTCGGAACTAGAAGATGGTAGAGGTCAAAAGTTTTTTAGCAAATAATGCACAGGGGTTATGGGAGGAAAAGAAATGACCAAGGGGATGGTATACCAATCAGCATCCTCTTCTCACATATAAATTGTGTTCTTTTTGAAACTTGGTATTCTTGCAATTCTGTCCTGATGAATGCATAACGAAAAGATTTGACAACATGCCCCTTTTGTTCAACAGTACTGGAGAGGATGATGCAAGTTGGGATGGCGGGCAAAGGTAATTACAATGACAGAAAGATGACAATTTGAGGCAAAAGAGAGTTGCTAACGAGGTGCACAAGGCAACAATAGATGGCTCTTGAGCTGATATAAATGTCTATAGTACAATAGCGAGTGGTGGGGGGAGCCCAGAAACTTGGAAAATCCGGCAGAGTGAGGAAGACTACCATGACTGGGCCAAAGGCAAAGAAAGGTGGATTGATCTGAAGGGGTTCAGACCATCTCACCATCTGAGTCCCAATGAGGGATCCTCCCAGCCCCAAGTATCACGGATGTGGGACTTTAGAGTCATACAACACAGACAATCCTTTGGTGATTGAGTCTGCACTATCATGTCTACACTAATCCCACTTTCCAGCACTTGGCCCATGGCCTTGAATGTTAAGACATTGCAAAATGCTCCTTCACATCCTTTTTAAACATGATGAAGTTTCTTGCCAGTACTGCCCTCCCAGGCACTGCATTCCAGATTCTCACTACCCTCTGGAGAAAAATGAATTCTCAAATCCCCTCCCATCCTCCTTTCCTCATCTTAAAATTACACCCCTTTTCCTGTTGCCTTGCAGCGATGGGGAAGTGAAACTGCGTTGATTACTAAGATGATTGTCGTGCCTCACTCTCAGTCCCACACCTCCTTTCCTGCCATTTGAAAGGGGTTGAAAGCAGAAGAACATTCTCTGAAGGTGTCTCGAACATCCAAATACATTTATCAGATTTTGAACCCTTTCCCCACCATCCTGAGTGACCATAATGCTTCCCTCCATATTGTTGTATCCAACTGGTTTTTAAAAATTGATCTCCGATTTCCCACCTCCAGCCTTTTACCTGAAAATTTATTCTATTGCATTGAAGTTACGTCAGTTTTTGTACTAATTTGAATCAATAGCCTCTTGTTTTACCCAGACAGTTTAATTTTAGTTAACACAAATAAGGGAGGGAAGGTGGGAAAGGTCCAGAAGGGAGACTCTCTGCTAGATTGAAGATGAGAAAAGTAAGGGCCATGCAGGGGTGGGAATGGGAGAAGAGACAACAGGTATGTCTCAAGGATATGTGAATGACAGAATGATAAACACCTACCATCCAAATGCAAAAACAAGGCTGCAAACAAAAATGGAAACAAAAGAAGAGCAGAGATTTCAGTCTGAATTTGTTGATTTCAGTGTTAAGCCCAGAGGCTGCAAAGATGAGGTGCTGTCGGAGTTATAGAGTCATACAGCCTGGAAACAGACCTTTTAGTCCAACCAGTCCATGCCAAACATAATCCCAAACTAAACTAGTCCCACCTGCTTGCTCCTGGGCCATATCCCTTCAAACCTTTCCTATTCACATACTTATCCAAGTGTCTTTTAAATGTTCTAATTGTACCAGCATCCACCACCTCCTCAGGAAGTTCATTCCACACACGAACGACCCTCTGTGTAAAAAATTTGCCCCTCATGTCTTTTTTAAATCTCTCTCCTCTCACCTTAAAAATGTGCCCCACTAGTCTTGAAATCCCCATCCCTAGATTAGAGACATCTACCATTAACCTTATCTATACCTGTCATGATTTTATAAACCTCTATAAGGTCACCTCTCAGCCTCCTACTCTCCAGTGAAAAAAATTCCCAGCCTTTCCAGTCTTTCTTTATAACACAAACTCTCCATTCCTTGCAAACTCTTCTGAAGACTCTCCAGCTTAATAATTTCCTTCCTTCAAAGTTATGTTGAATTCATTCTAGCATTGCAGCAGGCAGAGGACAGAGAGGCCAGTGTGCAAGCAAGGTGCAGAACTTAAATGACAAGCAATTGGAAACTTGGGTTATGTTCTCTCTCTGAATGGGGAGGTCTTTTGCAAAGAGGTAATCCAAACTCCTTGGTGTAAGCAGTGGACACTGCACTAAATCAAAGAAGAACAAGTAAATCTTTGTTTCACTTGGAAGGGTTTTGTGGGAGGAGCTTTGGATGGTGAGATGGGAAGAGGTTAAAGGGCAGGTTTTACACCTCCTGAACTTCTAGAGGATGGTGTCATTTGCAGTGAATGCAGTCGGGGCTTCGGTGTGGTGGACAGGATAATCCCTTTGGAATGCAAAACGGAAAGGGAAAAGGAGGATGTGTCTGGGGTGGTGACATGCTGTTGAAGGTGGTGGAAATGGTGGAGGACGATCTGTTAAGGAAGTTGGTAGGTAGAAGGTGATGACACCAGGAACGCTGTCATGGTTCCGAGAGGGAGGGGAGAAGTGGGAGAGATGTAATAGGCACAATCAAGGGCCCTGTCAGCACTGCTGTGGGAGAACCCTTCATTAAACAAAAAGTGAGACATTTCAGAAGTGGCACGGTGGCTCAGTGGTTAGCCCTGCTGCCTCACAGCGCCAGGGACCTGGGTTCGATTCCAGCCTCAGGCGACTGTCTGTGTGGAGTTTGCACATTCTCCCCGTGTCTGCGTGGGTTTCCTCCCACAGTCCAAAGATGTGCAGGTTAGGGTGGATTGGCTGTGCTAAATCGTGCTGTAGTTCCCGGGGTGTGCAGGTTAAGGTGGATTGGCCGTGCTAAATTGTCCCATAGTGCCCAGGGATGTGCAGGTTAGGGTGGATTGGCCGTGCTAAATTGTCCCATAGTGCCCAGGGATGTGCAGGTTAGGGTTCTATGATTCTCTTCTGTACAAGGTTACTATAGCAGAACAGATGTGACACAGACAAATAAACTGGAAGAATAGAACAGAATCCTGTTTGGTAGCCAGACATAATGAAGTGTGTGGTCGTGGCCTACAGTGAATATCTGTTGGAAGCCTATTGTCAGAAATGGTGAAAGAGAAATGAAGGAAGAGTCAGAGATAGACCATGTGAAGTTGAGTAATTTCTCCAGTTCGAGTGAGAGCAATGAGCAGCACTGATACAGTCATTAGTTTCCTGGAGACAGAGGTGAAACAGGGGGCCTGATAATATCCCATTAAAAATGCATACACAGTCAATATAGTTACCCATAATAACCTGTTAGCTTGAAGGAAGTAAATGGAATGGGGAGCGGAGGTGGAGAGGGATGGGGTGTGATGGTTACGACTGATAGAGTCATACAGCATGGAAACAGACCATTCGCTTCAACACAATCCCAAACTAAACTAGTCCCACCTGCCTGCTTCCTGGCCTTTTTCCCTCCAAACCTTTCCTATTCATGTATCTATCCAAATGTCTTTTAAACATTACAATCGTATCCATATCCACCACTTCCTCAGGAAGTTCATTCCACATGCAAACCACTCTCTGTGTAAAACACATTTGCCCCTCATGTCTTTTCTAATTCTCTCTCCTGTCACCTTTAAAAATGTGCCCCCTAGTCTTGAAATCCCCCATCCTAGAGAAAAGACACCTACCATTAACTATATCTATGCCCCTCATGATTTTATAAACTTCTATAAGGTCACCTCTCAACCTCCTATGCTCCAGTGGGACAAAAAAAGATTGTTTGTGCCAGGAAACTGTTAAAGTACCTTTGTAATCAAACAGTAGCAACATCTCTATGATGGTGTCCTTTCCCTTGACTTTCTATGAAGTTCTAATTATGTACAATATTTCAAATTAATACACATATCTTTCTTCTGAGTGACTGCTCTGTACAAACATATGAATGATCTTGGGAGGTTTTGGAATATTTCTATGTGTCTCGTGTGTTGAGATGGTGCTAATTTCCAACATTGTGCTTTGGTCAACAGTAACAAGGGAATGGAACACCTCTACAGTATGAAATGTAAGAATGTGGTACCACTCTATGATTTGCTCCTGGAGATGCTGGATGCTCACAGAATGCACACGCCAATGGACAAGCCACAGCCTGGAGGAAATGGAGCCAATCCAATAAATAGAGGGACCATGCCTTCCTCTTCTTTACTGTCACTAAAGAAGACAGATGTGAGTTTTGAAACATCAAGATAGGTCAGTGATTTGAATGGTACGCAGTATTAACAGAAGTCCCAACAGAAAACTACCTATGATCACTTGCAAATGAAGCACATCACTGCAGCAAAATTTATATAGCTTCAGCTTCATCCAAACGCAAACCACTCTGCAACAAAGGAAGCCCTGTATTTTGTATACTTACTGAATTGGAAAGGGCTTGCTAGTGATGCGGGAACAGCATAGTGTTCCAGCAGTTTTGTAAAGTTCTCTAATCTTCTCAAAGAATTTACTGAAATTCCAAATGCTTCACTAGAACACGACCACGAGGGACATGAAGGTGAATGTACTATAGGACCATTCCCAAAGGATTGATAATCCTTGGCCTTCTGATAAACACTTGGCAACAGAATGAGTTAGACCACTGAGCGTTCACCTCTGCTAGCCAAGGTCAAATCTGCTGGTGAAGGTTTGGATGGAAAACCAGAATGAAAGGGGGTAGAGGCGAATGGAGTTAATGGACTTCTCCTCATATCCATCCAGATCCCATTGGCAGCTGTGCGAGGGAATCGAGGAGAAAAATAACCCACACTGGTACCAATCTTTGGAGCTGGTGCCATATTGCTGGCACAGAGTAGAGGGAGCTTTACCCTTCTGCTGAATTCCCTTCACTCCCTCATCTTCAGTAAGAACAAAATTAAAAAAAACGAATCTCACAAACGTAACCCCATGAACATGGCCTGTGAATTTCCTCATGACCCAAGTGACCCTGTTCTCAACTCAGTTCCTCTGCTAATCCTGGCACCAATCTTGGTCCCATTGGTTATTCCATCATCTTTGTTCATTAATTGGGGTTTACGTTACGCTTGTTAAAAGTTTGAATAGATTGATTTGTTTTATTTTATGCACAATTACGAGTTAATAATGAGTTCAGGACTAATTACAGCCAATACTCTACACACCTTCAGTTAAGTCACATATCATTGCTGCATCAAAGTCTTGGAATTCCCTCCTGAATGGCCACCTTTGGGAGCACCATCACCACATGGAGTGCAGCAATTCAAGAAGGTCCACCATCACCTTCTCCATGACAACAAGACATGGTCAATAAAGGACAACCTTGCTTGTATGTCAAGAATACATTTTTAAAGTCTGTGTGTGGAGAGATGACCAAAGCACCGTGATCAGGATACCACCCAGACCTCAAACGTCAATGGCCTCATTCCTCCAAAGGTTTTTGACACTTCTTTGATGGGAAAAATCAGAATCTAAACCCTGGGCAGGAATAGGAGGCTCACTCCAGATCAACGTTCTGTCAAGTTGCAACACATCAGCACAATATTGCGTTACCAATATCAACACTGGCTACTACCTCAAAACACTGGTGGTTTGTAGGGAATTTTTTTGCAACACTACCGTTTACTCCATATCATTGCTGCAATAATCGTAGGATGCCTATTCTCTACAAAGGTTCAACAAACGGCCTTTGACGCAATGTTTCCTCATTTGGTGCCTTTTTTTGTACGGTGTGCCAGATGCTTATTGGTTAGGTGTCATGGTGCCATTGAGGGGGTGTGTTGATGTTTTGATGTTGACGATGCTGAAACCCAAAGACTTTGGCAAATTAGTTCTGGAGCAAGATTTGGGCATGCAGTGATGATACAGCAATGACCTACTTTGTATGTTAAATCCCTTGGGTCTACCCTCAATGTCAATGGAAGGTATGTTGGGGCAATCCATGAAATCACCCAAATAGGAACCTTCCTGCTCAACCATTCCTGGCTTCAGTTAGAATCACGGCACCCTTACTCAGCTGTTTATGTTCCACAGTACTGAGTTCATTAGATCTCAGCTTTCACCAGTCAATGGACAAGACGAATTTTCTCTCCTGGGTAAAGTTATAACAGAAAACTTATTCAGACTGTTCACAATAATGAAGGGGGTATCAGCAACCACAGAATGTGGTGGAGATAATTGATAGAACAGTCAGGTGGAGAATTGGTGGAGGGTAGTGGAGTGGGAGCAGTACTGAGGGAGATCTTTTTTTTAGACAACAAGTTGTTGAAATTGGGAACGCACTTCCTCACTGAGCGTAGGAAGCAGATTTAACAGCAACTTGCACTTGTGCCGAGTGGCGTCATGCTGTACTGTATGATTCTATATCATTCCTCCTGTTTTCTGGGTATACATGTTGTCAATTTCAGAGCAAAAACATGGTTCTTTTTTTAGCATGTCTGATAAGTCCATAGATTAGCCTAATCTTTTCTCTAGTACACGGTGAGTTTGTAAGCAGCAAACAGTTTATCAATTATAAATGAGGTGAGGTATGGGGTGGTGGGTTAAGATTTGCTCTTTTTCAGTAAATGTCTTCATGAAAAGTGCTTGGACTGAGAGTCAGAGAAGCAGCTTTCATGTTTGTAGCTTTCTTATGTAATGTGTGGGTTTATTTTGGTGAACCTTCCACAAAGCTGTACTGCTTCTGAAGGCTGAGTATCAGACAGCTACGTATGAGAAGACAGGAGCATGGAGAGATACAGATCTCAAAGGTGAAAAAACAGAGCCAGGCTGTGGGATATTTCTTTAAAGGGGCAATACAGGAATCTTTGAGAATCAAAATCTTTACAAGCGGTACACATGTGAACCTTTCCACAAGACATTCAGTAATCTATGGTGCGCTTATTGCTAGACAATGACAAACTGACATATATCAGAAAATGACATTGGATTGAATGTTAGATTACATTCTGATAGAGATTGAGGATTCACCATCAGCATATATCAGAATTGGGGATAGTATTTCAGAATAAATTTATTTTAATATAATGTATTTTGTTTTGCTAAATTATATTTCTCTCACTCACCCAAAGCACAAGCATTTGGCCGTGACTTAGCTCTGGCAATCCAATAAAGGTGCAAATAATTTTGATTATTTTAAGGTTATTCAATTTTTTTTACTGCTATGGGGTTTTTGTTGTCACTAACTGGGCAACAATAGGATTTTACAGAAGGAACCTCCTCAGTTCATCCTGCCCTTGTTGCCATTTTGCACCTCTCTGCACTGACCTAAATCTACGCGGCCCTGTTCATCCCAAATTAGTCTCACTTGCCCCTTTTCTGCCGATAGTCCATTTTCAACACCAAACTAATCCAACTGTTCCACTCTGTCCAAAGTACTTTATCAATCCTGAGTGGTTTCTACTGTCCTGATTTCTCTGCGTGAATTGCGTACATTAAGTGCCTTTGTATTCTCCGACCTTCCTTTGGCTCCCAGTCAAGGAAAGCTTTGACTTTAGATTTCTTAACCTTGTTTTCGAATCCCTTCATGGCCTGACCCCTCCATCTCTGTGTTCTCCTCCAACCACACAACCTTCTGAAATATTTACACCACTCTTAACTGTGGCCTTTGTGCATTCCCAGCTAGAATTGCTCCACCATTGGACGTCACGCCTTCAGTCAGCTAAGCCTTCAGTTCTAGAACTCCCTCTGTGCACCACTCTACCTCACTTTCCTTCTTTAAGGCCCAAGCCCCCGACCCTTCCCGCCAAATCTCTGTAATAAAGAGTTAGATAATCTAACTTAATATCTCTCAGTCTGGCTTGGTGATGTACATGTTTCGTAAAGCTCCTTTCAAGTGCCTTGAGGTGTTTCATTACATTAAAGGGATTATGTAAATATAACTTATTGTTTTAGGTCCATCCATTCTGTTTTCCACTGGGCAGTCCACAGTCCCAACCAGATGAACTTGGAAGAGCCCTTGTTTGGTATTGGTAGGGCTAAGGAGAAACAATGACATGAGTACCTCTAAGTGCTGGGCCCATATTTCCCATGAATACAGTAAAGAAAGGAACACTTTATTAACCACCACATTGGTTGCAGTGATTGGGAGCTGCAGCTGTTTACATATCAGTACCATGTTCACATATCAGTACCATGTTCTCCTGTCCATGTCAAAATCCCACACTGTCAATCAATCCATTCCAGCTAACACTAGCACTCAAATTTATTTACTACAAGTGGAACTACACAGAGAACCTGTATAGACACAGTGAGCCAATAACAGGGTGACACTGGGTTGACACAATGCATAAAGGATTGCATATTAAGTAGTCTGAAATGTTCCAGATTGTTTCCTATGCCCAACCTATAAAATGGAGATGACCTCGTATTTGTTAGTTCCCTAGATATTTTTTATTCAACCTGTTCAGATGTGTTATAAAACACTGCTGGAGAAGGTAGGAGTTGAACCTGGCTCTTCTGACCCAGAAGTAGGGCCATTATCACTTTGCCACAAGAGCCCTATTGTTAGTTCCTTGGGTATTTTCCTAAACAACCCATTCAGAGTATTTATGATAGACCTCTGATAAGACTTGAACCCAGGCCTTTTGTCCTAGAGGTAGGACTATCACTGCGTCACAAGAGAACCTACCATTAGTTCCTTGAAGTAGTTGATCTGATGTGAAGCAGCTGGGGAACTATAAGGCACTTTCATTTGATGACTGAACAATTTCTTCTTGATGGTCAGGTAGTTAAGACAGTTTCAATATTCATCTTGGGAAGGATGGCTTGCAGTCTCCAGCTGCCTAATGATTCACCTTGAGCAACAATATCTTCTTTTGGTTAGCATGTATTGGAGTTAATCTGTAAAAAACCCACCACCATTCATTAGCTTCAGTGGTCTTCACATATTCACCCTGGCTACGTTGAGCTTCCCTTAAGACCTTTGGCTGAAAACAACATATCTTAAAGCACCATAAAACGAGTATTTTCCAAATCTGTGATCAAAGCGTTGATGCAGTAAATGTGTGAAACTCTTTCCTTCTATTTTATGTCCCATCTAATCAGCTTCCTGTTGGATGTGAGAGGGTGGCTGATTTCTTTTCTCTCTCTCTGTTGCTTGCCTTTATTGGAAGCAGTTATCACTCATAAAGCCCAGACTACAAGAAACAAATTCCCAGGTGAAGTGAACAAGCTTGCTGATGGTCATGTTATTTTACTATAAGGCTAAATGTTACCACACAATTAATTGTTGGTCACGTGCAAGATGCCACATGGCGATCTAACTACCTTTTTATGGCTGTCAAAAGGGCTGAACAGGATTGTCTAAAATGTTCTTGTAAAGGAAAAATGCATTTGTGCATGTAAATTTGTTTCTGTTTAATTGAGTAGTTGATAAAACAAGGTTTATCAATCGCTGTCTCAATACTGTGCAACATAGAAGCTCTGCTCTAAGCAGCAGATTATTTTGAGGTAAATTGTTTTGTGACTCATAAATACAGACAAAATGAATGTATTTCTGTGGGTTATTGAAGATATACACTTTAGTGAATTATAGCAACTTTCAAAGCATTAGTTATCTTCTCTGTTTCATCAGAGAGTTTGCAAATAGTTTTCTGAACAGTTTGTTTTGGACTAATTGAAGAAGGAATCTCATAGGGTTTATCATTATCATAGTTTACACAAAAATTGCAGTTTATATATAGCTTTACATCTTAGCACTTCATCGCAATTATCACTACATAATAGTCACTGAGTATTATTAAAGAGGCAAGGAATGGCAGGTGTTAGATTATTTTAAAGGCAGCTGATTAGTGTGCCATTTGGCAAATTATGCAGACAGTTATAAATCTACCCCTTGCTGCTATTTTGAATAGAATTAGAGGCAGTGAGCACCAGTGGTTACAGATATGCCCAAATATTTCACAGTCCCCAATCCCATCAGTCAAACAGCTCATTTGTGTTTGGCCAAATATTTTTTTGTGCAGTGATTGTGTTCCCGAAATGGCTAGTTTTGAAATCCAACCAGAGTCCAATCTTCAGGTGTTGCATACAAAATGAACTAAATCACATCCGTATAATGTGTTCACACACTGCAAGTGAGTTCTAGTGATCCTATTGTGCTACCAACTCCACTGGTCTCACAATGTTTGAAGAAAAATGTCTACAGTGATGTTTAAGAAAAGCCTATACGTGTACTGTATTTTTGAAAAAATATTTAATTGCTAAATACTCTTGATTCTAGTTTGTTTCAACTACATAATGCAGTACAGTTCTGATGAGCGGGAACACTTGGATTACAAGTCAACGGTGATAACCGTCTAAAAGACAAATGTTTTGTCAACCAAGGTATTTTCCTGCATCGTATTTTCCTCACAGAGATAGTCTGGGCTATGCAATGCAGAGGAATACTAATGAACTGTATACTTGGCTTTCAGTTAAATATGTAAAAAAACCATTGTTAATTTTAGCTTTAAATTCCTTTCCCTTTTGCTCATGTGTGATACAATTCTGCCTGTGTACATATACAAGAGATTGAGATTGAATGTAATGCAAGAACAGAGGATTTTTAGGGAAAAAATGTACTGTAATGTGTTAATTACTAATTGGTAGTCTGAGCTCACTTCATTGAAATCCTTTCACACAAACACACTCTCAGTGCAATGTGCTAGCCATGACCCCAAAGAGTTATAGCTTGACAACCAGAGTCTGTATTCTTATTTTTTATTTACATTTTAGCTGGTGTATTAAAAAAAAGTTAAGAACCTGTCACAGTTTGTCTTAAGCAGCAAAATAGTCTGTTGCTGATTGCTCAAATGTAGCTCCCTAAAATGAGTAACTGATAGACTGGCTGTAAATTGCAATATGCACACATTTCTGAAGGAGAACAAAATGGTTCGATCACAAATTCATTGTGATGAGATACTTGAGTTGTGTCCTGGACACATTGTGAAATGGGAGTGATATCCCCCAAAAAAATGTGGCTGGTTTTCCACATTTCTGCAGAATGTCTGTAATCCGACTCAGCGAGGCTCCTCTCGAAATTGGAACCACTATTGCTAATTTCATTGTCAGTCTGTTCCCCACCCACCCGAGAATTGTGTGAAATTATAACAAGAAGTTGAATGATGACTATCTGTCGTTGGGGGCCACACATATCTCAGCTCACACTCCACCCATTGTCATGGTCATGAGTTTCTAGCAGGAGAGTAAATTATTCCCAGTTAAATGAACATGTGTGTAAACAAGAATGGAAATCTTCTCCAGAAGGCAAACGCAAAATCCCAGGAGGAGGAATGCATCAATCAATTGCTTATGCAGTAATATCAATACCAAAGATCCTCCTTGTTCATGTTTCACACATCATGACTCATTCTACCTTATAAGAAAACTACCTACATTGATGAATTGTTTGAACTACCTATTGCGATGCACTACATAGTAAACTAATAGTGACCCTTCCTCTCCCCACCCCCATGAAGGGTCTGCACTTTGTAGCACCAAGAAAGTGTTTTGTAGCAGACTTCTCTTTCTTAATATGTTATTGCAGCTGATGCTGTTTGTAATTTGTGTGTGATTTTAATTTAGGAAATCCTGTGCATGTAAAATGATTTTATTTGCATATTGAATGGGTGGAATAAAACAGTGAGCTAATGTGCCTGTTACTGCGTTTTGCTTTAAAACTCCCAAATCTCAGGATTATACATCTAAGCAGGGCTGCACTGTGCCCTGGAAAGATAGAACATAGAAAAGTACAGCACAGTACAGGTAAACAAGGTGGAGGAAGGGACCATAATGCAATCGCAGCCAACAGGAAATGTCACAATCTTTGAAGGAAGATTTTTCCAATACACCTGGTGTCTACATCCACCAACAAATGGCAGATGACAGGGTGCACCAGGTAAACAGTAGTGATGACAGCAGTTGAAAAGGGCAATTGGGAAATAAAAAAAAGCACATGGGCTTTAAAAATAGAGGCAGAGTGTAGAAAAGCAAAGGCATTTGCTAAAGCTTTATATGAATCACCGATTACATTTCAACTCACTCCTGCCAAATTCTAGACACCGTATGTTAGAGAAATGCAAAGTTTTGAGGTTTTCTTTTCATAGAGTGAATGTGGAGAGACTATTTCCACTGCTGGACAATCGGTAATCAGAGGACACAGATTTAAGTAATTGGCAAAATATCCAGAAGCAACATGAGGAAAATAATAAAAACTTAGGAAAGAAGGTGCAAATATTTAGAATGCATTACCGAATAGAGTGGTGGAAGTAGATTCAATAATAACTTTTAAATGGGAACTGGACTAGGCACCTTGTACAACTTTATAGGGAGAGATCAGGGGAGATGCACTAATTGATTAACTCGCTGGTATAGAGTCATAGAGCACAGAAACAGACCCTTCGGCCCAACTCGTCCATGCCAACCATATTTCCTAAAACGAAACAGGCCGAATGCAGGAAAATGGGACCAGATCCCTGTAAACCTTTCCTACCCTGTACCTATCCAAACATCATTTAAATGTTGTAACTGTACATGCCACTACCATGTCCTCTGGCAGCTCATTCCATACTCACACCACCCTCTGTATGAAAAAGTTGTCCGTCAGGTCTCTTTTAAATCTTGCCCCTCTCAACTTAAACGTATGCCCTCTAGGTTTGGACACCCCACACTGTGGGGAAAAGACCTTGGCTATTCACCTTATCTATGCCCCTCACGATTTAGTAAACCTCGATAAGGTCACCCCTCATCCTTCTACGCTCCAGGGAAAAAAGACCCAGCCTACGCATCCTCTCCTAATAACTCAAACCCTCCAGTCCCCGTAACATCCTTGTAAAGCTTTTTTGCACGCTTTCCAATTTAATAACATCCTTCCTATAGCAGGACAACCAGAATTGTACGCAGTACTCTAAATGTGGCCTTACCAATGGCTTGTACAGCTATAACATGATGCCCCAACTCCTGTACTCAGTGCTCTGACCAATGAAGGCAAGTATGCCAAATGCCTTCGTCACCACCCTGTCAACCTGTGATGCCACTTTCAAGGAACTATGTACCAGCACTGCTAGGTCTCTCTGTTCGACAACAATCCCCTGGGCCTTCCCATTAACTGTGTAAGATTTTCCCTGTTTTATCTTGCTAAAATGCAACATCTCGTGTTTATCTAAATTAAACTCCATCTGCCAATCCAGTTGATCAAGAACCTGTGGTATTCTTGGACGACCTTATTCACTGTCCACCATATCACCAATTTTGGTGTCATCCTCAAACTTACTAACCATGCCTCCTCTACTCTCGTCTAAATCGTACATATGAATGACAAACAACAGTGGACCACGCTTTCCTATTGCACTGGATGTACGATGGGCTATTTCCAACTGCTGGTTCACTTCCCACATCCACATGGTATCAGATGAGGGGTGACTCACCTGCTGTGCTTTCCATGGAAGAGGGGCAGAAGACAAAGTGGGTGTATGTTGCATCGAGTTCAGGTGGCAGAATCTATGGTGGAGTGTGCAACTGGTGCAAAGTAGTGATGACACAAAGACCACGGTGAAAGAAGAAGGCCCTTTAATGAGCGACCCAGCTTTCTGCTGTATACCAAAAAGAACCAGCTTTCATATTATTAATTGTAGACACACAAGGCTGCTTTTGAATAGAAAAAAAAGCGCTACGGTTTGACCATGGTCGGAACATGCCACAATTAGACAATCACAGCAGTCAAACAGGAGTGACACTGTTCAAGAGGCCTCCCTTGTTTCAAATCTCATCACCTGATTCACTTTGGAATTGCTACAAACATGTGCCCCACCCATTGCGTAAAGCAAGAGGTTTTCAGGTTGTAGGAGGATTTATATTTATATCTTATGTACACATCCATGCCTCCTCCCACAAAGGAAAATTGAGAAAGGGAAGTATTTATTCCGTGCATGTTTCTGAAAAGCAGCTCACAACGTAAAAATGATCAGCACAGGTAATAAATGCAAGGGGTAATATTAAAACATAAAATAGCTTTGACAATCTGTACACAAATAATCTGTTCAATTTTTGTTTACATCCAATAATTGTCTCATCAACATTGCCTGAAATTTTACTTACATCTCAATACTATCCTGCTCAGACTCCCTTCCAGATTTACATCGTTCACACATTCAGAGAGTTAATTTTGAAAGCTCAAACTATACAAGGCCATGCCTAAAGCGAACACTGTAGAAAATAACTGCTCATTAAAAAGTTATTTAAATTTGTATTTTACATGTTTCTCTTTGAATCCTGGATCTGGGAGTGTGGACTGGCTACTTTCACGCCCGTCTTGTGGCTTCAGTTTGACCTGAGTGGTTTCGAAGGACATCGTACAGAGCAGCCAATGGTGTGGAGAGCCCTAAAGGAGCCAAGCCTGCCTTTCCCCCTTCCGATGAGGAACTGCTTCTGGAGATGGTACCATTCCTCAACTCTCTCTCCCATTGGTCATATTGGAGGGGGGCCATTGGTGTACCTCAGCATGGGGTGGAAGGATCGGGCAAAGTTGTTGGATGTAGCACAGCTATAGTCTTCCTCAGTCATTGGCACCAGGCAGGCCAGAGCGATCAGCAGCAGCAACAATAACTGCAAGGGTAACGCTGCTCGAAGCACTCGCAGGAGAAAGGACGGCCTCTTCTGCGCTTCCGACTCCTTAGAACGGGAAGAATCGCTTCGGCTTTCTTTGTGGAGCCTATATTTACAATAATATACATATTAAAAAAAAAATTACAGCTCAGACAAAAGGTCCCCTTCGGAACACAAATCCTCCTCCCAGATTTCCAAATTCACATTTGAACGACTAACCTTCGAAGTAGGAACCTGACCTGCTTCACAGTCAGTGGTCTGCTGAGAAAATGCAACTACGTCCAGCCTCCAATCTACTTTTCTACTGCTGTCCTCCTTGTTTCACGTCTTCGTGGACCTCCTCATTATTGAGATTCAAGAACCCATTTGTAAAGTTTAATCCTGTATCCAAAGTGATCTTAAGCTGCTAATGTACACTTTAGTTTACAATTATCAACAAGACAGCATTCTTTAAAGACAACACCTTCCAAATTGCAATGGCCATTGAATCCAAGCAGCATAAACCCAGGGATGCCAACACTCTACGACTGTCTCATAATCTTCAGGAATTAAGGATTCATCTCCAGGAGACTGCTGTGATGTAGCCCAAAAGTAACAAACACTGGAATGTTCAATATTTTGTTCTTGTACTTTCTTTGAATGCTTGAGGAGTTAAAGAAGTGTTGGAAATGTGGGGGAAGATTAAAGTCAAGATTAATCCAATGAAATGGCTGTGAGAAGGCCGTGTTCTTAAGGAGGATGGATAAATTGTGGGTGTGGAATAGTTTGAGGTAGAATGTTTATGCAGCTCACAGTCTTTGAACTGTTGCCTCCTGGTTTACAACACTGCATAGATACTTATGATTGAAATTCAGCAAGTTCTTTCACATTAATTCCTTCATTCAAATTAACACAGTTTTGTAGATGTCCACAGTGCAAGGCAAATCTCTCAATTGTTCAACATGGGGAGTCTGTATTTATCGAGGTGAAAAAAAAATACGCAGCATTCCTTCAATGGCGAGAGGTTGGGAAGTGTTGATGTGTATAGGGTGACCTTGTTTATGAGTTACAGAAGTTACCATGCATGTGCAGCAAGCAATTAGGAGGGAAAATGGTTTGTTGGCCTTTATTGCTGGGGGATTCGAATACAGGAGTAAATGTTGTTGAACGAAGCCTTGTTCAGACTATACTTAGTGTAGCTCTTTACCCTATCAAGGCTAAACTTGCATAAAGGAAATGTAACTGATGTTCAAAATAGGCAGGGCTGTCCTCAGAGTACAGACTGAGCCGATATTCCCTAGTGATTAGAAGAATGAGAGATCTCGCTGAAACACACAGAATTCTTACAGGATTCCACAGGGTAGATGCAGAAAGGGCGCTTAACCCTGGCTGCAGGTGTCTAGAGCCAGGGGGATTTCTTCATTTACAGGGAGATGAATCTTGGAATCTTCCGTCCTACAGGGCTGTAGAAGCTCAATCATTGAATATGTACAGACCAGAGATCAATAGATTTCTAGATATTAAAGACATCAAAGGGACATGGGTATAGTATGGGAAGATGGTGTTGAGGTAGAAGGTCAGCCATGATCCAGTTGACTGGTGAAACAGATTAGATGGGCCAAATGCCTATTCCTGCTCCTATTCCCAATGGTTCTGAGTATAAATGCCATAGTGTAGGACTGCGTGTGCACCAGACTGGGTAAGGGGTAGAGAGTTCTCATCCAAGAAGGGCATTAGTGAACCAGTTGGGCTTTCTTCCTACGTTTCCAGGTGCCAGAAATCTTATTTATTTATTGAATTCAATTTCACAGCTAGCTGTGATTGGCTAGACTTGCACATTCTGAACTCTCAGTCCAATACCACAAACACCAGCATATCATGTATAACCTTCACCTGCTCCCACCTTTAAAAAACAAGTCAACCTGCTATTTTTGCCACCAAGGCATCGTGTTGACTCTGCTCTCGACAAGCTGGATCATCACTACATCCGTACACAGGAATGGCACAGTGGCTCAGCGGTCGGCACTGCTGCCTTGCAGTGCCAGGGATCTGGGTTTGATTTAGGCCTCAGGTGACTGTCTGTGCAGAATTTGCACGTTCTCCTTGTGCCTGCGTGGGTTTCATCCTGGTGCTCCGGTTTCCTCCCACAGTCCAAAGATGTGCAAGCTAGGTGGATTAGCCTTCGGGAATGCAGGATTACAGGGTTGGGGCTGGGTGGGATGCTCTCTGGAGAGTTGGAGTGGGATCGATTGGCCGAATGGCCTGCTTCCACACTGTGGGGATTCTATGGCCATTTATTAGACGATGAGTATTTTTAAAAACGAGAGCAAAGTTGCCGCAGACTGCCACAAACAGAACCCCCCGATGGGACAAATTGTCCAGAATGTGATGGTTACCCGGCCCATTGTGTGATTAGTGGCTCTGGGATCTTTATCAGCTACCGGGGCTTGGTCTGGTTCAAAGACCAGTTTAAAGAATTTAATTCAGGTAAAAAATCTTGGTTTTTCTCTTTCTTTTCTAGGTTAAACAGAATCTGCTGGCTCCGGTTTTGCCATTTGGTGCACTATGAGATCTGAACAAACACCAAATCTCAGGGTCAAAAGCAATTTCTGACAGTTCCTGGCAGCTCCTCCTTCAGATCCCACCAGCTCTGCAGCGAGAGAGAGAAAGCCTTTCTCCATTGCCAAGTTTTCTCTGGAGGGAGGCGATGGCCTAGTGGTATTATCGCTGGACTGTTAATCCAGAGACCCAGATAATGTTCTGATGAAGGGTCTAGGCCCGAAACGTCAGCCTTCCTGCTCCTATGATGCTGCTTGGCCTGCTGTGTTCATCCAGCCCTACACTTTGTTATCTCTAACGTTCTGGGGTCCCGGGTTTGAATCCCGCCACGGCAGATGGTGGAATTTGAATTCAATAAATATCTGGAATTAACCTTATAATGATGACCACAAATCCATTGTTGATTGTCAGGGGTTAAAAACCCATCTGGTTCACTAATGTCCTTTAGGGAAGGAAACTGCCATCCTTACCTGGTCTGGCCTACATGTGACTCCAGACCCACAGCAATGTGGTTGACTCTGAACTGCCGTCTGGGCAATAAATGCTGCCTGGTCAGCAACACCCTCATCCCCTGAATGAATAAAATAAAAACATCTGAATTGAGTCTATTTCTGACTCTTGCCTTCTGATTTAGGAATGGTCTCTCACTCTCACTTTCTTTCTCTATCATCTCCCAGGTTGTTAGGAAGGGCGGTCTTGCATTTATATAGTCTCTTTTGTGACTTCATAATGATACACTTCTGAGGTGCAGCCATTGCTGTGATGTAGGAAATGCAGCATCCAGTTTGCACACAGAAAGGCCCTAATATCAGCACAAGATGGTCATCAGATACAACATTTTCAATAAGGTTGGTTGAAGGATCGATGGATGCAAGTGCATCTGAGAGAATTGAGAATACCCCCTGGCACTACATGAACAGCAGAGGACTGCCCCAGTGTCCTGGGTAATACATAACGCCCAAACAACGTCACTAAAACAAATCATCAGCTCATTAACACACTGTGGTTTTGTGGGAGCTTGCTTTGTACATTGTTGGTTGCTGCATTCCCTGTAATACAAGTCACCACGCACCCGAAGTGCTCCACTGACAAAGAAATGCTTTGTGGGTTCAAGTTAATGAAAGGCACTACATAAATGCAAATATATTTCTTTTAAGGCCATAAGTAATTGGAACTGGAAGAGGCCATTTGGCCCCCTCGTGCCTGCTCTGCCATTCAGTAGGATCTTGGCTGATCCAACGTTCCTCAAATTCACTTTCCTGAATTTTCTCTGTAACCCTGGATTCCCTGACTGATCAAGAATCTATCTCAGCCTTAAATATACACAAGCAAAGACTCATAACCCTTTCAGAGAAGAAGTTCCTCCTCATCTCAGTCTTAAATTGGCGCCCCTTTATTTGGAGACCAAGCCTTCTGCTCCTAGACTCTCTCATGAGGAAAACAGCCTTTCAACACTTACCATGTCAAGCCCCTTCAGAATCCTGTATATTTCATTGAGATCACCTCTCATTCTTCTAAACTCCAGTGAGTGGAGTCCCAACCTGTTTAACTTTTGTTCATGATTCTCCAGACGAGGGATCATCCTAGTGAACTTTCTCTGAACTGCCTCCAATGAGATGATACCTTTCCTTAAATAAGGCAACCAAAACTGCTCACAGTACTCCAGGTGTGGTCTCACCAGCACCTTGTATTGTTACAGTAAGACTTCCTTACTCTTATATTTTTAGCTAAAGCTATTTTATGAACCGAACTGGATGTGATCTGCTCCTCTTGTGACAGCCTTTGGTGTGGCTTCAAAGCAGGAGCGGGATCTTCCTGTGCTCCAGGATGGAGGTCTGACATTAAGAATACAAGAGCAGGTCACTATCTGATGGAATGGACATTCGAGATGCAATGTGACTATCCACAGATCAGACATATACAGCATATATGTAAAAGTGCCGGTTTCCACAGTAACCCAGGCTCCAAGTGAAAATTATCACATCATTAAATAGGTTGGAGGGACAGAATGGTCTACAATTACGTTAGGAACATGGGTATACCATTCAGCTCCTTGTCTCTGTTCTACCATTCAGCTTGGCTCACCCATCACCTTAACATCTTCTTTGGTTACACTGGGGTTTCAATTCTGCGTTCTAAAATATTATACTTTTTTTAAAGAGGCGTGACTCAAACATCCATAATACAGAAAGACTGCTTCTAATCTGAATCTCTTAGGTGCATTTTGATCCAGAAATGTAAGTCCACCAGGTATCTGTAGTTATACTAGTGATCTGTTGCAAATACGTAAGTAAATAGTCCTGTTAAACCTTCCGGCATAACACCCGATTGCTGCTGTGATCAGTAATCTCTCCCTTAGAAGGGCAGTAAAGCAGAAGGAAGGGTGACGAAGACTGCATAGATGCCCAAGGATTTATTATACACATGTGGCTTCTTTCCCAGTCATTCCAAAAGTCCACTGTAGCACTGAAAAGTCATGGCACATTAAACAGCATCACACTGTTCCTTTACTGAAGTCCCATTATGCTTACCTCAGACTGTCTGAGAACACCAATAATGGGAGTTAATGAAATGCAACAGGAACAAACAGTACCTCATCACCCACTAACAGGTTGTTTCATTAAAATTAAGCATTCAAACCAAATATAGCTTTACCTCAGGTAGAAAATGTTTCTCTTTGTCTCAGTTCAACCTGCATCACTTTTAAATGAATCCCAGATTTATTTTTGGTTTTAACTGCACGCTGAGTGCAAAAGATGAATGGACGAAGAGGCTTGCCAGAAGCTGCAACAACACCCTCTTAAAATATATATATATTTTTTTAAAATGCCTCTCTAACTCCTACTTGAGCAATTCTCACTTCAACCAAAACCTGTGACCTTCCTCAAACTCCAAACACAAGACACAATATTTACAGTGTAGTATTTCACGACATAATGCTGGACTTGCAGAGTTATTCATTGAATTCTGGGCTAGGCTGTTATTCCCTCCACAAATGTCAGAACCTTTAGAAGTTTTTTGACCTTAAAAGTTCTCTGCCAATGCAAGCTGCTGTTGTGAAAAAAATATCCCCGTCTGGAGGAGACTATGTAATGTGTATACTCTGTTTCTTCCCACACCCCCAAGTTCTCTAACATCTTGATGTTTCATTTAAAACTTCTTTTGCATTCACTGAAACCAAGACAGCTTAATTGTAACACGCCTGTAGTGTAGTCATTGCTGGAATACAGGTATTTCTGCTGTAACGCATGTTTTGTTAACACGAATTGGCTGTAACGTGATTGATGAAGAGTGCCCACTGTTTGGATAACGTGAACCTTCTGTTGTACAGGTATAGCGATTTTCTATAGTGCAAGGTTGCACAAGAATGTGACTATCATGTTATAGCAGAAATACCTATATAGGAGATTTCTTAATGAGAGTACAATTTGGTTGGCATGATTCTTAAAGCTAAAGGTTTAATGGATCACATTCTTTTTATAGCAAAGAAATTTGATTGGGTTATCTCCTACGCAACATTTGGCTGACTTGTGTTTGAAATTAATAAGTTCCACTGGCCTTTTTCTTAAAACTAATGCCTTTTGACTGGTTAATCAGCGGAGAGTGATCTCTGTTGGACCTATCATCTGGATACATACTGAGAAAGGTGAGAACACTGCTCAAGGCAGAATCTCCCTCTTCGCTCTCACAGAAGATGCACCGAGCAGAGATAATTTCTGTTTACAGGAGACATTCACAGGTCGTCCTGTCGGATCCATTGCTCATTGCAAATTCACATCTTGACAGGAGTCTCCCTCCGTTCCTGTCCCAGATAGTGTGACATCTCTCTTTGAGCCCACTGGCCTGGCGAAATGGTGGGGAGGGAAGGGTGGTATTGAACAGTCATTCGCCTGTGTAACTATTGGAGAATCTCCCCACCCTGCAACAGCAAAGCTCCTGGCATCAGCTCAAACTCTAACCCGAAAACAAATTCAGAAAGGAAAAGGCAGCCTCGTCCACTCGAGATGAATAGAGATGACTTTTGACATGCCTCCGTCCTCATGTAGTAACTCTCCCCCTTACTCAACCCTTCATCTTTGGGTACGCTTATTCCTTCACTAGTGAAACTCATTCTGCAGAATGTCAGAAACAATGCTGTCTCAAACCCTCATTCCTGAACATAGGCTGTGGTTGTTTCGTGCGTTGAGAGATTAAACACAAAACACTCTGATCGGAGAACAAATGCTGATATAGCCCACAAGGCTCGAGATCAAACATTTATAATACCCAAGCACGCTGACCACAAGCTGTCAGGCCTGTGTACTTGGATTTATTCCTCTATTCAATGAAAACTGATTTATATCAGTGCTTGTCAAAGTAACAAATTGAATATTGTACACAGACAAGAAACAATAACAATAAACTAGGCAGCAGCACACTGACCTTATAGGATTGCCACAGTTAGAAATAGCTTTGGAACACAAGCTGCACAGCAAGTTTCAAGTGCTGCTAGATTACTTAGAGCCTGCGGTGTTGTTGCTTTTAAAACCTGTGTCGGGTTAATGCCACTTGTAGCAGTACAGAGGTTAGTCAAATTACAGGGCTCCCAAGTTGCACTGATATTACACACGACACCCTCAGGGTGCTGCTAGGCTGCATTCGGAATCCCTGTGCCTTCTGTGTTAGAGGTGAGTAGGAACGGCTGGGCAGCAGGTAGTGGTAGCGAGGAAAGGGCAGGGAGCAGTGGTTTATTGAGGAACATTTACAGGAAGACACAGAAGGGTTGGACACACAGGGCAATGAGACACAATCAGAAATGAGTTCGATGTAGGAAGCAGCTGCAATTCTGCCCTCTTGTGGGTTACAAGCGCTATCTGGTGAGCAAGGCAGAACAGATACAGGCACAGCCTGTTAACCAGCAGTGAGAGCATTCAAGCAACAGAAGATAAAATGTCTGAAGAGTCTACAAAGCACTGCGTTACTGAAAAAAAAACCCAATAACTAGCTTCATTTAAAGTCTAGGATCAAAGAAGATGATGGAATCTTATGAGGAGGGATGTCATTTGGCAGGATGTTCAATCTGAACAGCTGTACCATTCATCTGGAATTAGGATTCCACATTATCTGATGCTCTGGAGCGATTCAAGTGACTGACACTTGCAAAACATAGTGTGAGAATACTCTGGAACCCCGTTCAATGTAGACCTCTAAAGAAAACGGCAGTCTTGGCTCTGCATTTATGTTTTAAATTAATACAGGGGCTTTTACACTTTACATATTAAAGCGTACGGTTTGAACCTGAGGAAAAGTGTGATAAGCAACAATCAGATCCCGCTGTCAAGCTAACACAACTCAAAGCAGAGGGATCTTTGTAGTGACAAACTCTGCACAGGTTCTGCCAATCCTTCCTTCCCGGTGTTTAGTATCCTGGACGCTTCCTGGAAGATTCCATCATCCTCTCTGAGCTCTAGAGGTAAACTGTAGAAACCAGGAGAACAAGGTACCTGCTGTGTGGGCTGCTGACAGAGGCTCCAGGCTGGGAGAGGCTACATTTGCCCCGTGGCTGTTTGGAATGAACGGAGGGGTAAAGAAAGAGAATGTTCAGTCCAGCAAATAAAGACCAAGCTACTGATGACAGAACACAAAAAAAAAAGTGCAGCAAAAAAAAAAGCAGGTGAGGTGACTAATATCAATGATAACAAAGAAACTGGCTGCTCCTCCTGCAATGGTGAGCAGTGGCATTTTGGCTGCTCTTGTCAATGGGCTTGACTGTGTTACTGGAAGGAGTCTGCTGCGGGCGAGTGATATCGATGTGGTGTTTGCTTATTTCAGCGAGGCACTGTGCTTTCCTTAATCCTAATGTCCCACCTCCTGATCCCTTCCTGTACTGAGAGGGTCAGTTCTGTACACAGAACAATCACGTGAAATTAACAAACAGGAACAGGGCTTCTCAATCCAACCAATAACATTTGGAGAAGTCCATGAATAGGGAAGGTTTGGAGGGACATGAGCCAAACACAGGCAGGTGGGGCTAGTTGAGTTTGGGAACATAGTCGGCATAGACTGGTTGGACTGAAGGGACGGTTTCCATGCTGTATGACTCTGTAACTCTATAACTCAATGCGTGTTGACTTTTTAATCCCTGGCTTCAGTCAGTGCCTGGTCCCAGTTGTCTGCACTTCTCTCCTTATCTGTGCCGTTTCATCCCCTCACTCTGATTGCATTAGAAAGGAATACCCACCCTCCTGCTCTGGTTTGCACCTCCAGTCCCAATTCTGAACCTTCAGAATCACTGGAGGAGGACAGTTTCTCTCGACTCCGCCGTAACGTAAAGCAAATTGCCCCTACATTTCCTCTTTGGCCCTTGTAGGTCTTGCCCCAGTACTAGTCGCTTAGGCATGAGTTGCACCTTGCAAGATGCAACATTCAGGCCCTTCAGTCCTCCAGGACATTGAACACAGCTCACTGAGGGGTCAGGAGGTGGGATGTCCCACCTATAAACGCACAAGCACCAACTACAATTTGACCGCTGCCTGAAGCTGTGGCAGACAGGACTGATTCTCACACAGCTCTGGCAAGGATAGCCTTAGGCTAGTAACCATCTGCAGTCAGAGAGGGTAGGGGGTGGAAGAGCTCCCAGGACAGGGACGATGCTCCTGGATGATGCTCAGCGGTTCTAATGACATGAAGCTGAGAGAGTCCTGAGAGAGTGGAAGTGACAAAACCCCTCTGCCCGAGGTCTTCTGGAGCTGGCAGCTCCATCCCTTTCCCTCTGCATTTGCTGCCACCTCCATCGGGATAATAACAGACAGAGTTTGTCTGTGTACTATCTGATATGGGCAGGACTGAAACGCCTCTACCCTAGGGTTATTGGTACACCCAGTCTGTAGTCAGCCCAAAGCTATATCCCAGAGTGCGCACAGGGACTTGCAATGTTGGCAGTGGAGCTCAGACTAAGTTCTGGAAGTCATGAGATCCCTTTAAACGCTTGCAGTTTCATGTTGGTGGCATGGCCTAATGAGTGCACAGCCCTCTTAGGCCTTACCGCTGCAAAAAAAAAAGATAGGCCTTGTCAGAGAGTAGGTATCTGATTGCTTTTGTAGGCAATATGCTGTCTCATTGATTTCCACCCCATCACCACTCTCCATCCCACCCCAATCCTCTACTCCTCCTTCATCCCATCCAGCTGAACTACTCTCATATCACCTGCCAAATGTTTCCTCAGGGACCACACACAATCTGAGGCTTTCAAATGGGGTAACACTAGGGAAATGTTTTGGAAGCACTGCCCTGCACGGAAGCCAAGATCAGTGAATGAAAGCAGCGTAGAAGGATCAGGGTGGCACGGTGGCTCAGTGGTTAGTACCGCTGCTTCACAGCACCAAGGACCTGCGTTTGAGTCCAGCCTCGGGTGTCTGTCTGTGTGGAGTTTGCACATTCTCCCTGTGTCTGTGTGGGTTTCCTTCCGGGTGCTCCGGTTTCCTCCCACAGTCCAAAGACGCACAGGTTCGGATGGCTTGGCCATGGGAGATACAGGATTACAGGGTGAATCTGGGTGGGTTGCTCTATGGAGGGTCGGTGTTAACTCAGATGGGCTGAATGGCCTGCTTCCACACTGTAGGATTCTATGAAATGTGGGACAGTCCTACTATGAGTGATGTATTATCGCATTAGCCACCCTTAACGACAAAAGGATGTTGACTAGCCTTTCTTAATTCGCTCACTAACTTGCCATTGCACTAGATTATGGATTGTAGGGCAAATAATTCACAACAGAGGTGTGCATTTGGTTTCAGATTGCTTAACAACATGGAAATGTGACTAAATGCTGGCTGCCATGTTGCCGAGTGTAGAATGAGAATGCAATGCCAGACATGCATGGGTTGTATGTGCTATGACTGGGGAACAGCTAAACCATGATGGAAAGCCAGCATTCCTTTTGAAAAGCTGCCATGAGTGAATGGAGAGAGGAAAATAAAAATCAATTCAAAGAACCAGGGCTGATTAACGAGACAGAAATATCAGAACAAACAATAAACATATCGCTCAGGACTCAGAAAAATCGAATTAATGAAAGAACAAACTTTCAAAAGAAACACTTAACTACAAAGTAAAATTTACGATTTTTCTCAATTCCATGCATGGGAAAGGAGGGTGGGGAGGGACTGGGGGGTAGGTGGAGGTAAGCAGAGGAATGCATGGAGGGGTGCAGGGCCTGTGCATCCTGTTCAGGGGACTCTCGGTTATGGTATCATGGCACCAGCCGTCAGATGCAAGGGCTAAATATCTGTTACCGCCCTACCATGTCGGGTATAGAGATTGGTGCAAGGGAATTACCAGTCTGGGTCGAACGGGCAGATTTCTGCTACACACAGGGCTGACGGAGCCTGAGGAATCCAAGTTGTCAGCTGAAGACCACGACACCAGGTCCTGGAAAGGAAGAAGAGATCCTTAAACCAGAGTGCCTTAGAGGAAAACAAATGAAAGCATTAGAAACGCTTCATGTCCCAGGGTTCTGTACTTGCCAGGCCAAAGCGAACGGATGGGGAAACACATAACCAAGAACAGAAGCTGAAAGGCTTTTATCATCTTACGCTAAACCTTGTAACTTAAAGTTTATTTGTGGTCAACATTATTTGCAATTAACATTTAGTGCACATGACTATTTTCCAAAACTGCCCGATTGCATTCTGCACCTCCATGCTCCTTGTTTAACACGGTTCCCATTGTCAGGCATCACATGTAGCTGTCTCTCTTTCAGCACACACTTTGTACAAATGCTTGGTATTTCTGCCAATGGATTTAAGGGCAAAATCATTTGTCTTCATGTTTATTGGCAAAGAGACCACTCTGGATTTGATTTGGTGAAACTTCGTGTCAAAATCATTTGCAGTCTCATCGAGAGCCTGTGTTTCCCAGGTTCCCCGACTGCCCCAGCTGAAGGGAGAGACCAAGGAAGGATGGTGCTACTTTCATCCTATCTCCAGGGAGATTCCACCCACACCGCATAGAGCAGGTGTGATGACATGGTGAGATTCGGAGCACCATGGACTGACATCAGGTAGTCTCTGATTCACATTCAAGATACACTTGTATCGAAGCTGCAGATTCAAATTAACACAATACATACAGTTACAGTGCCCCACACACACACACACACACACACACACAGAGACAGGACGGAGAGACTCGCACGCACACACAAACATAGGCTGATAGACCTGGCGAATACAACGCAGACAGTTTGCTTGATTACAGACAAGACATTAGAAAATTCACACAGTGCAACATCTGGCAAATATTACAAACACAAAGCACTTTGCCATCCTAACCCAGCAGAAAGACAGCCTGGCACTGAAGATGGCATTGCCTTCACTGGTGTTGAATTGGGCACATTGTGGATTTATTGACATACCACTTGACTGCTGCAGTTGTCTAAGATTCTCTCCAGCTCCTTTAGATCTTGGGTGACCTCTTTCAAGAGAAGCTTGAGGCGATTGCCAATGACATGAACCTTCTCCTTTGCTTCAAGACAATCGCTCCCCTCTGCATTGACCAGCAGCTGGCTGGACATGTCCTGCAATGATGCGACTTTCAGCTGGGACTCCAACAGTTCGCGTCGGATTTGCTACAAGGTACAAATTAACATATTCACGTTGTAGTATCATTCCAGCATTGTGGGACAAAACACGACACAATCCATACCATTGATTATTTCACAATTACCAAATGCTCAGAAACAATGAGCCACTCACGTTTCATTTACTTTGGGCAGAGATAGCATTCTCATCTCTAAATTGGAAGGTCGTGGAGTCAGAACCATGAATACATAATCCACACCGACGCTCTCAGAGCAGTCCCAAGGGAAAGCTACACTGTCACAGATGCTGTGTTTCAGGGAGATGTAACTAAACCCCTGTCTACTCTGTTGGAACACCATCTCAAACACTAACAGATCCCCTCCCTAATGTTCTGATCAGCATTTACCAACATCACTAAACAGATTAGCAGGTCATTTGTCACTTTGCTGTTTGTGGATCTTGCTGTGTACCGATTTGGTCTCAGATTTCCCTACGTTATGACAGTGGCTACAGGTTTAAAAGTAGTTAAGTGGTTGTAAAATGTTATAGGACATCTTGAGATCAGAAACACCACTCAAGGAAGAAGGTCTTTTGTTCTTTTAAACATAGAAGAAACAGACAAACTTTAACTGAGGGCTTGTGAGTCAAGATTTTGCACCAGGGCTTCTTACGATATTGGCGTTTGCAGTTAATTAAAAAGAGTATCAAACTTAAAGAAAAAGCATATAGTTATGTAAGGCTGTTTAACCAGTCAGAAGACTGGATAGAATATTAAATACAGCAAAGAATGACTAAAAGTTTAATAAGGAAGTTAAAAATAAAATACAGGAGAAAACTAGCTGGAAATATAAAAACAGGTAGTAAGAGTTTTTTATAGATTTTTTTATAAAGAGAGTTAACAAAACGAGCACTGTTCCTCTAGAAAGTGAATCTGGGGAATTGACAGTGGAAAAGAGATGGTTGATAAATTAAATGTATATTTTGCATCGCTCTTCATTATACAAGATAGAAGTAACATCCCAGAAATAGCTGAGAGTCAGGAAATAGAAGGGAGGGAGGAATTCAAGGAAGTTACAATCACCAGGGAAATGGTTGGAGCTGGGGCTGATAGGTCACTGGGTCCTGATGGACTTAACCTGACCGTCATAACAAAAAGTAAGTAGTGAGATTGTTGTTGTGTTGGCTTTAGGTTTTTCAAAAGTCATTAGATTCAGGGACAGTTCCACGTGAATGGAAATTAGTTAATGTGACTCGTTTATTGAAACAGATGGGAGACAGAACAGGAAATTACAGATCAGCTGTCTTACACTGATTGTAGGAAACGTGATAGATGCTGTTAATAAAGATGTTACAGCGGGGCACTTAGGAAGGTTCAGATAACTCAACATGGTTCTGTGAAAGGGGAAATCATGTTTAACCAATCTATTGGAGCTCTTTGAGGAATTAATGTGTACTGGGGATAAAGGACTACTGCCGGATGCAATGTGCTTAGGTTTCCAGAAGGCACTGAACAAGGCACTACAGGTTATTGTGCAAAATAAGAACTCATGGTGTAGGGGCAATATATTGGCATCGATAGAAGATTGGCTAGTTAACTGAAAACAGAGCAGACATAAACGGTGAGAGCTTGCAGAGCTCTGAGATGTAGAGATGTCTGGGTGTACTTGTGCATGAATCTCAAATGGTTGGTATATTCGTACAGCAAGTAATCAGGAAAGCTAATGGAATGATATTGTTTATAACAAGGAGAATTAAATATAAACGTAGGGAGGGTATGCTTCAGTGACACAGAGCACTGGTAAGACCACATCTGGAGTACAGCGCACAGTATTACTGATCTCATTTAAGGAAGGATGTCAATATATTGGGAAGAGTTCAGCAAAAGTTTACTGCACTAACACCTGGAATGGGTGAGTTGCTTCAATAGGTCGTCTGCATTTGCTGAAGTTTAGAAGAGTCAGAGGTGACTTGATATTGAAACACAGAAGATCCTGGGGGATCTTGACAGGGTAGATGTGGAAAGAATAACTTTGTGGGAGAATCTTGAACAAGTGGTCACCGTAGAAAAAAAAGGTCACCCATTTAAGACAGAGAAAAGGAGAAAAAAAAATTCTCACAAGAGTCCTTGAAGCTCTTCCTCAAAGGGCAGTGGAAGCAGAGTCAGAATATTTAAGATAGAATTAGCTGGATTCTTGAGAAACAAGAAGGAATAAAGGTTATTGGGCGTAAAGGGAAATGTGGAGTCATCAGATCAACCTTAATCTTATTGAATGATAGAACAGACTTGTTGAGTTGAGTGGCCTGCTACTGCTCCTACATTGTATGTTTGTACGACAGCTTTGGGCACTGATCTCAATGCTGAGGTGCAATAATTGACCATAAAAAAAAGCACTAACGACCCCCCAAAATAGCACTTTGCCACGGGAGGTCATGTTGAAATGAAGTGAAGTTTTATAAAGTTTGTGAACACTGCATATTGCGCATCGCTGCATTGTATAATACAGAGCAATTCGATTTAATTTTAAAGTTAGATGCACAGACAAGGCTGTTTGCAGAGGGCTATAGGTCCATAACCACACCTTTAATAAGCACAGAGAGAGATGGAGTTAAGATTTCTCTGTGAATGAGCTAAAATAGCTTGTTTAGGATAGCAGGTGGGACAGCACTGGAGTCATAGAGATGTACAGCGTGGAAACAGGCCCTTCGGTCCAACTCATCCGTGCCAACCGGATATCCAAAATTAATCTAGTCCCATTTGGCCCATATCCCTCTAAACCCTTCCTGCACCCATCCAGATGCCCCATCCCAGTTTTAAAGTTAAATTCAAAACATAAATCAGCAAGGTGCAGATTAGGTAGGAGCTATTAAACAATAGCCACACCTCACATATATAGCACTCAAATCCAGAAAGCTTTAGAGCAAAAGTGATACGTTTGATAAACAAATACTGCTACAGCCACTCTAAGCTCAGTAAGATCACACAACATAAAAGAGATCATGCTTGATCACTTTTATCAGTGTTGGTCGGGAGGTAGACGTTGGCCTGGTAAAGGGAAAATTCGCCAGTTCTTCTTTGAAAGATTGCCATGAGACATTCTGTGTCTATTGTAAAAGGTCAGATGGTGTCTTGGTGTAATGTCTCCTCCGAAAGATGGCAGCTTTGATAGTGCAACACACCCTCAGTGGAATTTTAGCCTGGATGACCTGTTTAGGTCCTTCAATGTTGTACTTAATGTCTAAATATATATTTAATGATCAAAAGTGGCATCTGGTTTTCACTACAATTAAGTTACCAACAAGTACCAATTGTTAAATAGTAACACACCCAAATTACTTCACAAGTTCAAATTAAATGGTAGGAGGTCAAAGTGATAAAGATGATGGATTTTACTGACGTGGATGCAGCATTTATAGTCGCTTGCAGGAAGTAGCAGGGAGACGTTGAAAAGCAGCCAGTTTATTGACTGGAGGAGTAAATGTGACTCACCTTGTAACTTGAAACAAAATCATGATTTAGAACATCAGCACCTGCTAGATTGTGAATGCAGTGAGGTGAATGTTAAACTAACTCACAGGAACTGTGTGTCTATCCCATCCACTCCACCCCTCCCTTCCATTCCTCCTTCTTACCCTTCAAACCCTCCCTCCCATCCTTTCAGTAAACACTCACTCCTCCCATATTCATCACATTCATCCTATCTTTCACCACCTCCCTTCCTTGCAACTCTCCCATCCAACCCTGATGCATCTCCTCCATCAATCTAACAGAGAGAGAGTGTGAGAGAGAGAGAGAGTGAGAAAGGGAAAGAGTGAGAGCGAGTGCGAGAGACAGAGTGTGTGCGAGAGAAAGAAAGGGGATGGCAGAGAAACGTAAGAGAGAATCAGTGGGGAAACGGGGATGGAAAAAGAGAAATAGAGAGAGGAAGAGATGAACAGATGGCATAAACTATATTCCAAGAAGCTGAAAATACCCAGGCTTGTGAGAAATGGTGGGGAATATCTGCAATAGAGACAGAGCTGGTGTAGGAATGACAGGATACTTTAACCCGCAATCTGTTCATTCTATTTCTCACACAGTGAGATACAGCACCATCTAGTGTATATCCAAAGACAATTTCAGTGAATTTAAAAGTCCAGCTCTCGATGCCTTTTGTACAGGATCCTTGTTCCAGGTTCGATCCCATGTGTGCATCAGTTTACCTTCTCTCAGGTGCAGTGCCACACGTGGTGATGGTAGAGAGAAGGCAGTGGACAAACCAGAGCAATGGGGGTAGGCCATGGGGTTGAGGGGGCATGACCTCTACAGGAAAGGAGGTGTAGGGGGGCAAGACTGGCACTAGAGGAGAAAGGATTTACAAAAAGATTAAGTTATTAATAACATTGTAGTCCCATGTTGGGTGAGTATGAGATTTCAAAAGCTGTTGCTTCTGAGTTTCTGGTGTAGGAGAGATAGACTCGAGGAAGCTCCATTTTATTCCACATTGTCCTTCTCCCCTCAACACCAGTCTCTCTCCTAAGTCACCTCCTGCAGGGATACCAGGCACAATGGAGTCAAAACAATGATACAATAACACGGCTCTCACCAACAACGTCTTGTGATGGTCCTGCAGTGTGTCCGAGTCCAGGTTGGGGTCAAGGGGGAGAATTTCATTCCTCCTTCTGTCTATGTTCTCCAGCCAGAGCAGGAGGCCGTGGCTCATCTCATGGAAATCCTGCAGACATGGAACAAGGAAAGGCAACATCAGATGGGCCACAGTGGACCTGCCACTTCCAAACAGCAGGAGAGCTGGCGTTGAAACAGTGCCACCAAACCGCCCATCCGAACCGACTGGTGATACACTAGCATCTGGGAGGCGTGCTTTCAAACACAGTACTTAAGTGCATCATGCTCGCTGACACTCAGTACCATACTGAGGGATTGCAGCACTGTCAGTAAAAAATATCCCACCGTTTGAAGATAAGCAGGAGCAGGTTGTCCTAGCGTCCTGACCAACATTCTGCCTGTAACCAAAGTCTCGGATACAGATGATCAAGTCTTTAATTGCTTTCTGTGAGAGGATATTTGTGCACAACCTGCAATTGCTTAAGAGAAACAGAAATTGCTGGAAAAGTTCAGCAGGTCTAGCAGCATCTGTGAAGAAAAGTCAGAGCTAACGTTTCATGTCCCTTCCTCAGAACAGATTTCCTTACCTTATAAAGGTTGTTATCCTTCAAAGGTATCAAGGTTGGTTGTAAACTGTTACGGGGTATTCTGAACTCATGAAAGTTGTCACAGAAATGTTCATTATTTTACTCTTTATCACCCAAGTAAAGATATTGTTTAGAAATGTTATGATACACCTCGGGGTGGGGTGTAGGAACTTGAACCCAGGCCTCCTAGTCCAGAGGTAGGGACATTACCACTCTGCCACCCTATTACTCAAGTCAATGTCACTGGGAATAATGAGCTGCAAGTGCTCAGGGCCCTCCATGATGTTGTCCCACATCCAGGACTGTCTCTCTGAAGAAAATCTCAGGAACCTGCACGGGTAAGTGTTAAGAATCTGACCCTCCGTGGAATCTCTGGATTGTATCTGTTTGGTTAAATAAAGTGGTGAGGTACTCTTAATGATCACGTGCACTATTTTGGCTCCAAGAAAACATCCCACTCAGCAGAAGAGGGGACGGCCCTGCAGCATTACTCACATGGCACTGCATGAGGGCATCCTGTAGAGTGTGACGCCAAGCCTCCAGCAGGCTGCCAACCTGGTCCCACCGCTTGTTCATCTGACTCAATCGTTCACAGAGTTCTAGCGCATCACTCGTGTCTGACTGGGTGAACTCAGCGCTGCACAGGTTTATGGACAAGATGATCGCTTTGCGGTTGTCAACTGCCTTTTGTAATTCCTGAAATAAATGCAAGGAAACAACCCGATAGTGACAACATTCATCTCTACAATGCAGGGCTAAACTGTCACCTTCATCACTGTTACTGAATGAATGGGGATGTAAGCATCCCATGGGCCAAGCTAGATCTGTTAGCCCAAGTTCTTATCAAGGCTGACATCGGCTATGACAGGGAATAAAATACGTATCTATTACATCTTAAAAATGTTACAGCTACACAAGTTGGACCGAAGGGTCTGTTTCTGTGCTGTATGTCTCTATGACTGCTTCCTCTTCCAACTTGTACCATTATTGAAATAACTCCACGAAAGCTGGTATTCTGTCACGAAGTCACCCTGTACTTACACGTGCACAGTACATGACACTGACCCAGCGAGCGCAGAGCTGGTTCCTAGCGTGAACAGAACCCCTGACACTCCTGTTTATATCCGTCAGCCAGGGCTCCCTGATTGGACCAGGTTAACAACTCCAATCAGGGAACTCATACTCTGTGAGATCCACCTGGCTGACCCTGCTCCAATCATTATAATTATAGCATGTCAACATTTATAGTTGAATGTAAATATGTCACACTGTAATTACATCCTCCCACCAGACGTGGTGATGGAATGTTTCAGTTTTGTGATCCGCAGTTCCCAAACCAAACCCTTTGTCTAAACTTTCAGTCAACTCACTCATAATTCTTTCTTTGTGTGAACACCTGTTTTATCAATTACATCTCTCTGGAATACCATGCGCCTAATTTTCATTGAAACTGCTAGAACAAATCCAATTTACCATTGCTAAAAATGGACAGACCCACATAAATGCATTACTCAAGCTGTTATTATCTCCCCCTGGTGGTATGGGGAGGAGGCAGTACCTTTTCTTTGCCTCTCCCAGGAACTTCAATCCATCAAGTCCTCCGATTGCTATCCATTGAATTCCTCTTATGGAAAATTGCTCAGAAAACCCCTACAACAAAAGTAGCTAGAATAGTCAACCGACTTACTGAATCCTGAATATATTTTGTAGTAATCAGACGACCAATTGTCCACACTGTATTGAAAAACTAGTTCATAATTCAAGTATCTTAGAGTAGAACTTTTATCCTTAGAAATTGAAGTTTCAACTGTAAGTAACTGGAGGCATCTGATTGAGAAACTGATAAACTCAACTCTGTCGTAAATGCAACTCACGAAAGCCTGGGTTTAAAAAGATGACCTCGGTTTAATCAATAAACCTGACATTGACAGTAGGAACTCCAAACATCTCTTCAATTTCAACCCCTTATGCATATCAGATGCTTCCTGAACCCATGCTGACTCTGCTTAATGTATTTCTAAATGTTCTGCTATTACATCCTTTATAATAGACCTAACATTTCCTGAATAATAGACATTAAACTGACCTATATTACCTGTTCTTTGTCTCCCTCACTTCTTGAATCAAGGCGTTATTAATTGGCAGTTTTCCAATCCTCTGGGATGTTTCCAGAATTCAAGAATTCCTGGAAGATTACTTACCAGTGCGTCCACTATCTCTGCAACTATTTCCTGCCTTTAGCCCCATTATTTTCCTCAGTAACTTTCCGGAGTCATATTTACTGTTTTTATCTCCTCCCCTCCTTTAGTCCCTTGATTATTTAGTAATCTTGAATGCTATTAATGTCCTCTCCCATGAAGACTGATGGGAGGTATTTACTCAACACTTCTGCTGTTTCCTGGCTCCGCTGTTTCCTGGCTCCCCATTATTATTTCCCCAGCCTCCTATTCACTGTCGCCTCTTTCTTTCTTTTTATATATTTAAAGAAGCTCTTACTGTCTATTTTCATGTTAGTTTCTAGTTTGCCCTCATAGTTACTTTTCTGGTTTTTTTTAAAATCAACTTTTGTAGGCTTATAAAACTTGCTTAATCCTCCAAATTACCATTAAACTTTGCCACACTGTATGTTCCTTTTCCGTCAGGAATATTCCACATCATAAATCACTTCTAAATCTGAGCGAGCTGTGGACTGAAGAACATAAGGCAAATGTGAAATTTGCAGAGTGTCTCAGCCCTGAGTATTTTAGTGCCGGAGTCTTGACTTCACGTCACCAGACAGCTTCCTGTTCAACAGAGGAGAACATTGGACTTACTTTGAGCTTTTTAATACGCAGTTCGATGGTCTGGATGTCCGTGCTGACGTCCAATTTGCTGAGATGCTCCAGCTCTTCCTCAGTCTCACTCAGCCACTCCCAAATGCTGTCCAGGTCACAGTTGAACTGCTGCCAATGTTGAAGGTTCTGTTTCATTCTCAGCTCCTTGTTAAGGGCCTGGGCTTGGATCAGCTCCCAGCGTTCAATCACACCTGCCCGGGGAACAAGATAGCACTGTAACAAGTTAGGTCCAGGCTACCGGCTCAGCAATTCTGATCTACCATCGACTCATCTGCAGGATTTGTTCAAGGCAAACTAACATGCAATATCATTCTTACAGCTGAATTTTTAAGTTACCTTCTGTGATGATATCACAAAGTATTCAGTCTCACATGGCCGCAAAAGTCCTAGTGCTTTCATTCTCTCACACACAGTTGCGATGAATGTCAGCCTGCTGATTTGGCAGTGGTCAATTTCAGTTTATCAATAGAGTCATTGAGGTTTACAGCATGGAAACAGGCCCTTCGGCCCAGCTAGCCCATGCCACCCAGATTTCACAACTAAATTAGTCCATTTGCCTGCATTTGGACCATATCCCAACATACTGATCCCATCCAAATACTTCTTAAATGACGAAGTTGTACCTGCCTCAACCACTCTCTCTGGCAGCCCATTCCAGGCGCTTACCACCTTCTGTGTGAAAACAAAATGTTCTTCTGGATCCTTTTGTATCTCTCCCCTCTCACCTTAAACTCTCGTTTTAGACTCCTTACCAACTGGGAGAAGCTGCTGGCTATCTACATTATGTATGTCTCTCATGATTTTATAGACCTCTATAAAGGTCACCCATCAGTCTCCTACGCTACAGGGAAAAAAAGTCCCAGCCTATCCAACCTCTCCTGATAACTCAAACCTTCCAGTCCGGGTAGCATCATAGTAAATCTTTTCTGCACTTTTTCTCAATGACTGTCACGGTTTTCCTCCATTATTTCATGGGATGTGGGCATCACTGGCTGTGTTGTCCATCCCTCGTAGCCCTCAGGAAGCTGGTGGTGAGTTGCTTTCTTAAACCACTGCAGCAGGGGTATGCTTCAGAAGGGGGTTTTTCACCCAGTGTAAGAACAGTGATCTAATTCCGAGTAGGCTGGCGTGTGGCTTGGAGGGGAACCCGTGGATAGTGTTGTTCCGGTGTATTTGCTGCACTTGTCCTTCTAGATGGCAGGTCGTGTGTTTGGAAGGTGCAGTAAAAAGAGACCTTGGTGAGTTGGGACTGCATCCTGTAGATGGTGCACAACGCTGCCACCGGGCATCAGTGGTGGAGGGTCAAGGTGGACAATAACACAGAACAATACAAGGAGGAATAACAGTCTGAATGGGCTATGGGCTGGTGAGGACAGGGCAGCTGTGAAACGTACCCAGCACCTCAGCCCCTGGGTATTTTAATACTGGGGCAGAATCTGCACGTCCAGATAGTGCCCACTTCAAACAGAACCGGAATTGGCAGGTGTGGAGGAGGTCAGGGCGTTCAGAGGTTTTTGGCACTGAGTCAGTCACCTGGTTGAACCCGAGCTCGAATCTGCCGAGCCGCGTTCCGATAAATCAATGATAATGTAAAACGGACGAATGTCAAAGGCCCTCAAAGACATGTATCCCTACCTGATTCCTCTAGAATATACACTCCCTCAGTCACACTCCTGGGGACTCAAATTCCAGCTGTGCTGAAAGTCCACCCTCTCCAATAGCTGTTGTATGCAGATGGGTGAACACTCCTGTTCTCGCTTCCTCATTTCTTCAATCCTGCCGTGATCACATGGGAATTCTCAAGGGACAAGGGAGGAGAAAATAGCCTCTCTGAGGAAACCACCCTGAAACTTCCGGTTGTGATCTATCGAGAGCTCCTGTCATGTTGCCTGTCTGTTAGCATCTGCAGTCTACATAAGGCCTCCCCTGCCCCATTTTTTTTTTTAGTAGGGAAGTAATGTTGCTGTACAAATACAGGTGAGGAAGGCCATTCAGCCCATCAACTCATCCCTGCCACCTCTTTGAATGGGCCCATTTTTGGGCAAAGGGAATGCCAGCTGTGGGAGAAACAATATTCAAACAGAACCAGTGGGTGATCCAGCTCCAAGAGATTGCTGACAGGTCATGGTGAAGCAGAGTAATAGAGACTCCAGTGTAGCATTAATGCTAGCAGGAACTGGATGGGCCTAATGACCTGTAGCTATGCTGTAGGTTCTATATATCTTTACACCTCAGAGTTGATTCATCGAGTAAAGAAGAGGCTGAAATTAAACACTGAACAGACGTGTAGACTGTCTTGATTTTGCAAACCTCACTAACTACTTGGAACCCAGTTATAAATGAGAAATGGGATGTTCTGAAGTCTTTCTTTAAGGCCTGTCAAGTTCATCCTCCACCATCCTGTTACTCATGGGAGACATTGGTAGCACAGTATTTGACTAATCTCAGCAATCAACCTTCACTGATAGATCTACAACGCACCCAGATATGAGGTGAGGTAACCCTTTAATAGTGGAGACCTTTGGGCATGAACGAGAACCCCAAAGTTCCCCTCAGCATCAAACATTTACCCCGCTTTATCTCAAGAACATGAGAAACAGGAAGAGTTGCTCATACGACGTCTCAAGCCTGCTCTGCCACTTAATTCGATCACTGCCAACCTTCTGCCTCATCCTCACCTGTGCATAACCTGATCCCCACATCCCTCAATTCCCTAGGAATCCTGTCCATGGTCACCTTAAATGTCTTCAGTGATGCAGCATCTACAAGTCTGTGGGGCAGGGAATTCCAAAGATTCATAACCTTTTGAGTGAAGTCATTTCTCCCACCTCCAACGTAAATGACCAGCCCCTAATGCTGAGACAGCATCGCACCTCTCCCCCAACTCCCACCCCCCCGCCCCCAATATTGTAGATTCCAGCGATAGCAGTCTCTCAATATCCAGCCTGTAAAGCCTCTTCTGAATCATGTACGTTTTAAACTGATCGCCTCTCATTCTTCCAAACTCCAGAGTATAGGCCCAACTTGCACAACTGCCCAACCCTTCCATTCCAGGATTGACCTGGACGCTCTAGAAATTCAAGTTTAATCTCCAGGACACTGCAACCATGGAGAAAAATCAGAGGGATGTTAAAACAAAAAAAATTCTTTTGTGACTGTATTTGATATAAAATATTGAGATTGAGGGAAATGAAACACTGAGACAGCTTTGACAAATAGGGTTAAGGAGAATCCAAAGAGATTCTACAAATACATTAAGGACAAAAAGGTAACTAGGGGAAGAATAGGGACGCTTAAAGATCAGCAAGGCTGCCTGTGTGGAACCACAAGAGATGGGGGAGATACTAAATGAGTATCTTATATCGGTGTTTACTGTGGAGAAGGATATGAAGATACAGAATGTCGGGAAAAAAATAGCAACATCTTGAAAAGTGTCCATATTACAGAGGAGGTAGTGCTGGACGTCTTAAAATGCATAAAGATGGATAAATCCCCGGGACCTGATCACTTGTACCCTAGACCTCTGTGGGAAGCTCAGGAAGAGATTGCTGGGCCCCTTGCTGAAATATTTGTATCATCGATTGCTGCAGGTGAGGTGTCTGAAGACTGGAGGTTGACTAACGTGGTGCCACTATTTAAGAAAGGTGGTAAGGAAAAGCCAGGGCACCACAGGCCCATGAGCCTGACATCGGTGGTGGGCAAGTTGCTGGAGGGAATCCTGAGGGATAGGATTTACATGTATTTGGAAAGGCAAGGACTGATTAGGGATAGTCAACATGGTTTTGTGCATGGGAATTCGTGTCTCACTAACTTGATTGAGTTCTTTGAAGAAGTAACGAAGAGGATTGAGGAAGGCAGAGCAGTGAGTGTGATCTAAATGGACTTCAGTAAGGTATTCAACAAGGTTCCGCATGGTAGACTGGTTAGCAAGGTTAGATCACATGGAACACAGGGAGAACTAACCATTTGGATACAGAACTGGCTCGAAGGTAGAAGACAGAGGGTGGTGGTGGAGGGTTGCTTTTCAAACTGGAGGCCTGTGACCAACGGTATGCCATAAGGATTAGTGCTGGGTCCACTGCTTTTCATCATTTATATAAATGATTTGGATGTGAACATAGGAGTATGGTTAGTAAGTTTGCAGATGACACTAAAATTGGAGGTGCAGTGGACAGTGAAGAAGGTTACATCAGTGTACAACGGTATCTTGATCAGATGGGCCAATGGGCCAAGGAGTGGCAGATGGAGTTTAATTTAGATGCATGTGAGGCGCTGCATTTTGGAAAGGCAAATCAGGGCAGGACTTAAACACTTAATGGTAAGGTCCTGGGGAGCGTTGCCGAACAAAGAGAACTTGGAGTGCAGCTTCATAGTTCCTTGAAAGTTGAGTCACAGGTAGACAGGTTAGTGAAGGTGGCCTTTGGTATGCTTATCTTTATTGGTCAGTGCATTGAGTATAGGAGTTAGGAGGTTCATGTTACGGCTGTACAGGACATTGGTTAGGTCACTTTTGGAATACTGTGTGCAATTCTGGTCTCCCTGCTGTAGGAAGAACATTGTGAAACTTGAGAGGGTGCAGAAAAGATTCGCAAGGATGTTGCCAGGGTTGGAGGGCTTGAGCTATAGGGAGGGGCTGAATAGACTGGGGTTATTTCCCCTGGAGTGTTGGAGGCTAAGGGCTGACCTTACAGAGGGTTATAAAATCATGAGGGACATGGATAGGGTAAATCAGTCTTTTCCCCAGGGTCGGGGAGTCCAAAACTAGAGGGCATAGCTTTAAGGTGAGCGGGGAAAGATTTAAAAGGGATGTAAGGAGGAAACTTTTCACGCAGAGGGTGGTGCGTGTATGGAATGAGCTGCCAGAGGAAGTGGTGGAGGCTGGTACAATTACAACATTTAAAAGGCATCTGGGTGGGCATATGAATAGGAAGGGTTTAAGAGGGATATGGACCAAACGTTGGCAAATGGGACTAGTTTTATTTAGGGTATCTGGTCGGCATGGACGAGTTGGACTGAAGGGTCTGTTTCGGTGCTGTATATCTCTATGATTATGACTATTTGACTGATAGTCAAGCATCATATTTGATGAGTATTCTTCCTTCCCAACTGGTGTAGGAATGCAGCATGTCATGAGGATGGATATCTTGGCCAACTATTGGCTGGAACATGGGGGCAAGTCATGTGAAGACGATTCCACGAATGGATTTAACCACAGTTGGCAACTTTACTCAGGGACCAAATTTAGCAAACCTTGGCTAAACTACCTCCAAATCAAGTATAAATTCTTTGTTACAAATGGAGCTAAATTTGTGCATTGTATTGCAGATATTGTCTCAACGAAGCTTCCTAGAATTGCAGTAAGACGTTATTTCTGTGCTGTCACAAATTGGAGATATACTGTATTGTTGGACTGACATCATAGAAATGTAGAAAATAGGAGCAAGAGTAGGCCATTCAGCCCTTTGAACCTCCTCCACCAAACAGTATGATCATGGCTGACTCAGTCCTCTGTCCCTGCTTTCTCCCCATACCCGTTGATCCCTTCAACCCTAAGAACTATATCTATCTCTTTCTTGAAAACATTCAATGTTTTGGCCTCAACCACTTTCCATGACAGAGAATTCCACAGGCTCACCATTCTCTCGGTGAAGATATCTCTCCTCAACTCAGTCCTAATTGAGCCAAACCCTATCCTTAGACTGTGGCCCCTGTTTCTGGGCTCCCCAGTTCACCAGGAACATCCTTCCTTCGCTTACCCTGTCTAGTCCTCTTAGAACTGTATCGGCTTCCACGAAGCCTCCTCATTGTTCTAAACTCCAGTGAATTGTAGTCCTAACCAATCCAATCCATATTAATTTATCAGATTAGCATTCACTCACCTGAATAACTTATCAGATTAGCATTCACTCACCTGAAGTCTGTGACTCTGTGCTCGTCAGGTTAATTAAGCCAGAGAGCTTGTCTTCCTCCTCTTTGAGTTTATGTCCCACCCTTTTCACAGTCTCAATACTACCACGGCATTCCGACAGCAGCTTCATCTGAGGAAGAGAACAGTAGGATAGCGGGGGGAGCGTTGAGAAGGTTCAGGACTTGGGCAGATCATAGTCAACATGACACAGCACCTCCTGCTGGCGGGGGTGATGTCAACCAATCGATGCAACCAATTAAATTTGCACAGATCACAAACCCAATGCCAACAGGACCTGAGCACATGGCTTGGACCCGGATTAGTTCCTGGTTACCCAATGAAGCCATTACTTTACAAAGAGCAAGCCGTGAATTTCCCACATTTCTCCCTCCTTCCACTTTGTGTAAATGGAGCATGGGAATAGGAGTAGGCCATTTAGCCCCTCATTGATATCCACCTTCCACAACTATCAGAGCAGAACAGAAATGAGCAAAATATGCCACTTTCGATTTTCAGAGAATCAAACAGAGTTAATAAAAACCCACGAATTCGTGAAATCAAAAGGGAATTCAATTTTTCTTCTAAAAAGGCCAATATCATTAAAAATGACTACCATATTGACTAGTGTTAACAACTGAACTGGTTCATTAATGCCTTTGGGGAACAGAACACATACTGATGCTGACCGTTAACTGCTCTCTGAAGGGGTCAACTAAACCAATCTGTTGTCCCAAGCTAGCTCCCCGTGGCTCCACATGGTGACCATCACCAATCTGCTCAGGGGAACTGGGGTTGAACAACGAACACCCACCTTGCCACTGATGTCCACATCAACAGAATGAATTCAAAGTGAAAGTGCTGGATTAGTTACCAAAGTGGGATCGCAATTGATGAGATCCTCAGACAGTGACACCAGAAGGGAATTAGAGAAACTCGATAAAAAATCCCAAAGTCGAGAGTATCCATACTACCCACGGTGTTAACTAGCTACGGAGGAAGGAGTGCCCAGTCACTTCCCAGGCAGCTCCTCATCACAGTGAAGAGCACGTGGCTGTCGGATGATGTCTCACTGTGGACCAAAGCTGCTCCCCAACCAGGTACACTCCCCTTTATAGTAAAGGGTACACAGTGGAATCTGGCCAGGGGTTTATGTCTAATGGCAAGGCCTCTGGGGTCATCTCAAGGCCAGGCCAAGATCTTGTTTCTAACCGATTCCCAATTAGTCAAACAGCAAAAAGATCTTGAATGCTGAGACGAGGAATATTATTAATTTTTTTAAAAAGTGCTGCTTTTCTTCCCCTCAGCTCCACACATCAGGAGGGATATCATGTTCTTGGAGGGAGTTCAGTACGGATTCAGCAGAATTTCAGGATTAAAAGGGTTAAGAAAGGTTGCGAAAAGTACGCAAAGATCAAGGGGTGATTCAACCGATGCATTAAAGATGAAGAAAAAATGAGAGTTTTCGTTGACCCGGGTGAGTGAGCCTAGAACAAAGGGTATAACCTAAAAATTACAGCTGGGCTAGTGAGGGAGACGTTAGAAAGCACAGTAGTGAAAGTCTCATAGACACAGTCACACAGCAGTGAAAATCTCAGACACAGTCACACTACAGTGAAAATCTCATAGATACAGTCACACAGCAGTGAAAGTCTCACAGCCACAGTCACACCATAGTGAAAATCTCATAGACACAGTCACACAGCAGTGAAAGTCTCATAGACACAGTCACACGGTAGTGAAAATCTCAGACACAGTCACACTATAGTGAAAATCTCATAGATACAGTCACACAGCAGTGAAAGTCTCACAGACACAGTCACACCATAGTGAAAATCTCATAGACACAGTCACACAGTAGTGAAGATCTCATAGACACAGT